TCAGCGTTCACTTGAAGTTTTAGCCAGAAACATCAAGGAAGTGAAACGTCACGCGTAGAGGTTCTGATTGGCTGAGTGCCATACTGTTTAGTAGCATTCCAGAATCTATATTATAAAAATCCTATATTTTCTGTATTAAAATGAACCTTTGGAGTAAAGTGCTTCTCGCATACTTTACGCCTTCTCTCTCGTGTTCAGGTTGCTGTATAGTTCTAGCTTGGGGGTTACAGAATAGCTTAGGAAACGAATATAGCGTTCAATTTGCAAGACTTATCAGTTTTCATCACGAACTAACATCAGCTATAATGCCAAAACTCTATTTAGCCAAATTGATGAGTGAATTTTACTCCAAAATCCGAAACCTGTTATCTTATATATGATTGATTCGTTCATAAATTATAGTCCCGCCATCTTATTACCTAACTCCGCCTTTAGCTCTTATAGGGTTACTGCCGGTCCCAAGCCCGCGTAAAGGAGGAGGGTTGAGCATGGGGTTAGCGACCCCATCACGTAGAAAACTAACTCGCTAAAAAAACGCTTACCAGAAAAAATAATCCAAACCATTTTAACTCTCCCCTGAGAGTTAGAAGGTCTTCATTTAGAAGAATTACGAACCTTCATGGTGAAAGCCGAGTTCCTTCGGAAGCCACGAGGCCGATGACCCTTCTAACGACCAGAGCAAAAAATTTTATAGGTACATGGAACGTCCGAACAATGTGGGAGACCGGGAAGACCAGTCAAATAGCAACGGAAATGAGGTGATACAACTTGGCAGTACTGGGAATCAGCGAAACCCATTGGACCCAAGCTGGACAACAAAGGCTAAATACGGGAGAGATGCTGCTATAAAGTTGAAGGTAGATACAGTACTACTGATTCACTATTGTTAAAACGGATAATTAATGTTTCGCATGGATCAATTGTTTAAATTCATATTAACCACTTCCCATCTTCAATAAGTATAAACTCCGCCTGTAGCTCTTCTAGAGTTACTGCCGGTCCCAAGCCCGTGTAAAGGTGGAGGGTTGGGCATGGGGTTAGCGACCCCATCACGTAGAAAACAAATTCGCTAAAAAAACGCTTACCAGAAAAAATAATCCAAACCATTTTAACTCTCCCCTGAGAGTTAGAAGGTCTTCATTTAGAAGAATTACGAAGCTTCATGGTGAAAGCCGAGTTCCTTCGGAAGCCACGAGGCCGATGCCCCTTCTAACGACTAGAGCAAAAAATTTTATAGGTACATGGAACGTCCGAACAATGTGGGGAAACCAGGAAGACCAGTCAAATAGCAACGGAAATGAGGAGATACAACTTGGCAGTACCGGGAATCAGCGAAACCCACTGGACCCAAGCCGGACAACAAAGGCTAGCTACGGGAGAGATGCTGCTATACTCCGGTCACGAAGAGGAAAATGCTCCACACACTCAGGGAGTCGCTCTAATGCTGTCCAAAGTAGCATGAAATGCACTTGTAGGATGGGAATCCCACGGATCCAGAATCATCAAAGTATCATTCAAAACAAAGAAGTAGGGGATCTTAATGAATATTATCCAATGTTATGCACCCACCAATGATAGCAACGACGACATTAAAGATCAGTTCTACGAGCGGCTACAGTCAATCATTGAGAAATGCCAAAGAAAGGACCTAACTATTCTGATGGGAGTTCTAAATGCCAAAGTCGGAATAGACAACACTGGATATGAAGATATTATGGGACGACATGGACTGGGAGAAAGAAACGAAAATGGAGAAAGATTTGCAAATCTATGTGCATTCAACAAATTGGTCATAGGAGGCACAATATTTCCACACAAGCGTATCATCGATGAACAAGGAGGATCCGATGCAGACGTAAAGACGAGGATCGGCAAAGCAAGGGTCGCATTCCTACAATTGAAGAACATATGGAACTCAAAACAACTTTCCACCAATATCAAAGTGAGAATCTTCAATACCAACGTCAAGGCAGTTCTACTGTATGGAGCTGAAACTTGGAGAACTTACAACAACCACAATCAGGAAAGTACAAGTATTTATAAATAGCTGTCTACGCAAGATATTCAACATCCATTGGCCGGATACCATCAGCAATAGCCTTCTGTGGGAGAGAACAAACCAACTTCCAGCTGAAGAAGAAATTAGGAGAAGACGATGGAAATGGATAGGACATACATTACGCAAATCGTCAAACTGCATCACGAGGCAAGCCCTAACTTGGAATCCTGAAGGGAAGCGAAAAAGAGGAAGGCCAAAGAACACATTGCTTCGGATAATAGAAGCAGATATGAAAACGACGAATTACAACTGGACGGAGCTAGAAAGGGTTGCCCAGGACAGGGTTGGATGGAGAATGCTGGTGAGCGGCCTATGCTCCTTCACGAGGAGTAACAGGCGTAATTAAGTAAACTTATTACCTAGTATTATGATTTGAAGTATATAGATTGTTCCATCGAAAAATATCACCAGAAATTTATAGCTTTCTAACTAGTTATAGCTAAACATAAATTCTTTTCTTTCATCATGTACTATTAACATATACAATAAGAATTAAACTTAGGAGAAAATTGTGTAATTGTACTTATGATATATACAATAAACATCTTTAATATTTTACTTAAAATACTCAGAAAAATAATATAAATTATTGAAACTTTTCATTAATTTGTAGAACAAGTAAATCGATCCAATAAAACTTTCATCTTCTCAGTTGAGAACACTCTTAAACTAAATAAAATATTGATGAGAATTACATTAAGATGATAATAGAAATAAACTAAATCGTTCTCAGTTGAGAACACTCTTAAACTAAATAAAATATTGATGAGAATTACATTAAGATGATAATAGAAATAAACTAAATCGCTAATTATTAAGAGTAAAATCTAAGCTTAGTGAAATTACGGTATTGGAAATAATTACGTCATATGAAAGATAGTTTTTGAAAATGATTGGAATTTAAACAGTTGAGATCATGAGTCAGTTGAAGCTAGACCACCATGGAAAACCTGGAAGAACTGGTTGGCCGTTTCGTCCTATTATGAGACTCCTCAGCAGTGCGCATCCACGACCCCACCTCGCGGGATTCGAGCCCAGGACCTATGAATCTCGCGGCAGGCGCTTAACCAACTAGACCACTGAGCCGACATTCAACGGTGTTCATCTCTCACTCAAATTTCGGGGATTAGTTGAGGTTAGACATTAACACGTTGGATGTCGGCTCAGTGGTCTAGTTGGTTAAGCGCCTGCCGCGAGACACATAGGTCCTGGGCTCGAATCCTGCGAGGTGGGGTCGTGAATGCGCACTGCTGAGGAGTCTCACAATAGGACGAAACGGCCAACCAGTTCTTCCAGGTTTTCCATGGTGGTCTAGCTTCAATTGACTCATGATTTCAATCAGTGAAATTTCTAAAATCTCCACAAAACCACTTCTGATACTAATGAGTGGAAGGCTTGACAACATTTTATAGAAGTAAGATAATTATCACCATTAGATTTCATTTAACGGGAGTAGTTGAAATGTGAATGAGATATGCAAAACTAACTAGACTGGTGTTTATTTATATTTAAAGAAACTCTTTGATGAAATTTACTTATCTAATGAATTCCGATTTTTGTTGAGAAATTTTTCATATGATCAACTTTTCTGTTTCAGAACCTTCATTTCAGTTATGTACAGATAAACTTTTTCCTCAGGCTGTTATTAAGTAAATATACTGAAATATTAATTAGCTAGCTATCATAATTAAAGTGACTATATTATTTCCTTAATTGTGATCAAAATACAACAGAACCTCTTCCAAAGTTAGTCCTTTCTGCCTAGCTTGCGTATAATAGATTTCACTTATTCCAGACACTACATGGTTGCATCTTCTCAATTCTGCGACTACTTGAATGGTTCTTACAGTTTTCTAAATTATCTGAACATTTCATGAACCTAAATTAATTGTTGCTTTGGTCGTCAGAAGAAATAGTGTATTGATTGCCGAAAATTTTGAATTACACTGCCCTTTAACATCCAGGGCAAAATTTAAATGACTTAAATAGTCTTTTCTGTTCAGCGATTTTAACTTGTTTCCTTTGTAGTTAATGGGGTTATTATTATTATTATTATTATTATTATTATTATTATTATTATTATTATTATTATTAGCTTTATTCAATATTGTAATTTTGGTACAATATAGAATTCTCAGCGCAAAGTATTTCAACAAGTTTCCGTTTCTTTCTTCTTGGTCGGTCCTGGCGATAAATATTGAGGAATCGCCAGTTAGATGTTAGCACTTCAGTGAATGAACAATTGAATAATGTACATTCTTTTCGTTGTACATTGCCAGCAACCATATTGTCTCTTATTGAGTTTTCTGTAACTTTGACAACGAAAGGTTGTACACTTTTCAGAAACGCAGCAGAATAGGTTATGCGATTAATAAACATAATGATATATTAAAACAAACAACAATAGATAACTTGTTGAAATATCTAGATGGCAGGAACAGGTAGCCCAGATGCTCAAGCAGGCCGCCCTTAACATCATGCCTAACTCTCTTTCTTTATCCGAGCTTGGGACTAAAAATAACCATACAAAGGCTCCAGACGGATTGTGCTTCAAATACACCACTGTAATTTCTATTTTCAAGATGATGACAAGATACAAAATTATGAAACAAAACGTATGTATATGTAGTTTATAATTTTGTAGTATGAATAATTGTCCAGTTTTTGTTTATCTATTAACAGAAGTTAATACGGCGGTGAAAAAAAATACCACTATTTGATCTGAACTTCTCAAGTTAGCTATTTATCAAATCTAATCGTTTCTATGGATTTTTGGATACATTAAGTTATTTAACTTCTTAGGAAAACTTTTAGACAAAGACATTATCTTGTCAGATAACAACAAACAAAAATGTATTTGTACCTTTACAAAATTTATTTGTCATATTGAAATAGAAGTTTTTAAATTACATACTACTTAAATCAGTAAACAGTCATTAAAAACTGGTTGCAATCAATCTCATGTTTATAAGCATTAAATATCACATAATATTTTCATATTCTCTCAATTGAAAACTAAAAATATAACCATTGTGTCATATATATATCTTGTATTGAATAATATATTTTTATTGTTCAAAACGTAACTGTTTACTTTTTGACTGGCTAACACATGAGCTACTACGAGTTTGAACTCCAACTGATTTGGATCTGAAAATATTGATAGATTGAAAAAAAGATTAAATTAAATCAAAGCATAAATTATTAAGCTGACAAAAGAGGTGTGTAACTGATCGACACATTAAAATTATTTGGAGAATTCTTAAAACTAGGAAATAGTGAATACCCTATTATGTAGCTGTTTAAAATGTTTTTAAGATCTAAAATAGTTGACAACCTGTCAGATTACACCATGAATATATTCATACAATTTCCGACCGTTGCTGCTACCTTGACGTGATGGTCGGGCTTGCCTATCGAGCTATATTGGCTGGAACAATCGTTTCTCAGGGTCCTAACATGTCAGACAGTTCGGTTGAAGAACGTTAAGACTAAAAGCAGCAAACCCAAAGTTCGAAGTTGAAGTCGTACTGTTGACTATACAGAGGTGTGACAGCAGTAAGGTGTTTTCTTCAGACAACCAGCATAACACCGATGTTGCCTTCCCACAAGGAGGGGTAGGGTTAGAAAAGGTTGACACTAAAAATAAACAACTCGCCTTATCCCATGGATATCCGTTTCCGGATGTAAGGTCTCAACAAGTAGGAGGCTGACATAAAAATTACCCACTGAAATTTAGTGTGAGACAGGCCTCTAACAGTTGTCCCTTGGGTACTGCGTTCACGCTTTCGGGTCACTACGACCAATCCTAACACAATTTTCTTTTCAGGAACCTTAAGAAAAACCCCTTGGGCTACCGGGGAGTGATAACTGCACTCATATCTCTAGCAGTACTCAGGATCATACAATTGTTGGATTTCAAATTTGAAAGATAAACTAATTAGAACTTATCATACAAAACAGGGCAAATGTCTGTTGTAACCTTCAGGTTTGATTTTATCTGTAAGTTACCAAATAAAATTAATTGAAGGATTAATTAAATAATTTAAAGAAAAAACTATTTTCCGTTAGCTGAAAACTGCTCAGTAGTTGTGAGCATTGAATTCTTAAATGTGAATTTCTGAAATCAATACGACAGTATTGATGACGATGTTTTAATGGCATTGAATTTATTAGAAAAATTTCCAGCAGATAATATTGTTAGTGAGTTACCTATCCCTACTTCCAACTTGGTTGAATCAATCAGTAGTCAGTATTTTAGATGAAAAATAATTATTGGATTTTTTCATATTTTCTCTTGGTCCGATTACCTGATTAATTCATTAAAGAAATAACCGTGTTGACTGTGGACAAACTAGTGAAGACACATGACATATATAATTGGATTTTTCTAGAATTTCCATTATAAATAACTTTGACTGGTTGCATGATATAACTTTGCATGATTAGTATTGTGGTGTGTGCTACTGATGTCAGCAGATTTAAGTAGTAATTATCATCGATAGAAAGTGAAATGCCTGGAGGCAGAAGGTTGAGAAATTCGAAAAGAAGAGGACGAGAACAGAGAGTGATTGGTATGTAAACTATGGACAATTGATGAATATTTTGCAGGTAAAGTATTTACGGTATGGTTTTCAGATTTTATCAAGATATTCTGTAATGTTGCATTAAAATACATTTTGCTATCTGCACTTGTGTTCTCGTTCATTATAGCATTATATAAAAGCACTTATATTAATCTAATAGTGGCAAGTGAATTTGAGTATTCGTTGTTAGGAAATGTGGATTCTGTGAATAGATGGATTGAAATGAACCTGATGGGTAAACACTGTCAATGTCAACAACGAAACTTATCTCTATGACTTCTTATCAACTTCAACCAAATGGTTGAAATGTTGATAATGTATCACGGGGTTTCTTTGATCGTATTGTTCAGCTTCTTACATTTATATATAGACGGATGTTTGGTATCAATGATGATACCATTATTTATGTATGTTAATACATTGAATAAACAGTTATACAGAGATGAAACACCATTTTCAGATTTCCGTACAAAAACTGGACAAGCTGTTTCGCTTTATATATATGTCATCATATACTGGATAATATTCATGAGAATAATTTGAATTATGGTACCTTTCATTAATATTATCTGAAATATTGTCAGTTGATTTACGATTACGACTTGTACTTCTACTTTCTCTTCTTCTCAATAAACTTATGTATTCCTTCTTTGTTAAGATTTTTGTTGATGGCGGTGGAATAAATTTTAAATCGCCTGGTTTTAAATAACCATCATGTAGATTAGTTGATTTGTTCTTCAGGTTTTCACTCCAATTTATTTGATTCTTTGCTAAAATATCTGCAATATAAAACAGTAATCAAATCAGTAGTGTTTTTCATGTTACTCGTATGTGTATAAATTTATCTTGGTTTTATCATTATTTAAACTGGGATGTTTAAGATTAAAAAGTTAATATTGTCGTACTGCATAACACCACTGAATGCAAACTGTATTTAGACACTTTAGCTATGCTTCAAAACCGAACTATCTAACTAAGAGAAAACATGCACATTTATTTACCAAAAGACATTCGATTATGCTACAAATCTAAGTTTGTAGGTCTCCAGTGTTTGGAAACAGGATCGAACCCAGGATGAATAGGATAAGATTGTAGTATTAGTTCGTTTCGAAATAATTAACAGCTAAGAATTCCTCATCTTATATTAATTGAAATAATTTCATCCAAGAAACACACTATTATTAAGGATAAAATGCCAGGGAAAATAATTCGAAAATTGTTAGTAAAATGGTTAATCCTATAGTATCTGTTCAAAACCGAACAATTATTTTCGGAAGTTGAGTCTCTACCAGTTCAAATAACACAATATTATCATTATAACGAGACTAAGGAATATTTGTTGACTATGACTTCTCAATGATAATGAGTAACAAATATGATTGAAATGATCATTTGTTTTCTGTAGATCAAATGGTTTGCAGCTAGGAATGAAATCTATGACAAACATTTCACCATACTTCGGATTCTTCAGATAGATGTATTAGTGTTGATATTCACATTTTGGCAAGAATCCGGTATCGATCTCTTCAACTTTCTACTCGTTATCGAATGAACGATTGGGTCTATACAGCCACTAGCTTGTTTGATGGGTACAATGTGATGAGCACTTTGGTGGTTACCTCAACTTAGTAGCTCAGTGATTCAAGTCCCAATGCGAAGATTAACACTGACACTTTCAGGTGATAAGTCTCAAATGTGACGAAATCCATTTTTTCTACAAACCTTTTAACAAATTAGCTGTATCGAAGTATTTCACGTATATGTCAAGAAAGACTGATCGAAATTCTTCAATGAATATCAACAACAAGAAAACTCATGACCTTAGGAACAACAATAATTTGATTTTAACTTTTATTCAATAACTGAGCTACCGTAATAAATACATTGTTTGATTTTTTAATCTTCATAAATAAATCATTATCACGAAGGTGTTTTCATGATATTTTACCAATCTCTAATTGTGACTTTACACTTATATTTTTCTAAGATTATGTATCATATTACACTAATAAATAAATAAAAATAAAAATAAATCTAATTTCAAATGAAGCCTCCTTTATAGTTGGATATTTTGAGTAAAAAACAAACAAATAAACAGACCTTATACGTTCGAAATGATTATTATTACGAACATATGAAGATATCACATTACAAAATCCTTTTAGTCATGAATTTATAAAAATCAAAGACGATTTTGAAACAAATATGTCATCTAAGGATCCATGTTACAAATCTAAATTGTATTATAAACAAAAAAGTGTATACAAATTGAATATAAGCAAAGATGGATAGTGGCTAGCAGTGGAATCCAGGGCGCGCGATTCGTCCTATTTGGAACTCGTCAGCTGGATGTACCTGCTTCTCAGAGTTGATGTTCACTCTGGGACTTGAACCCAGCACCGTTCGCTTCAGACGCCATTGCGTTACCCACTTAGCTACTGAGTCCTCAATATACTTCAATATTATATATATAATTAACACTGAAGAAAATATTCAATTGGATATGATAATATTCTGGTGATGTGCAACACCAAAGCAATGTAAATTTTCATTTTGAGCTAAAACAAAAAGATCTTAACTAATAAACATATGAAATTAAGTGTTACCAAGTGAAATAGAATTAAGTAAACTATATTTTAAAATAGTCTTTCACTTGAAGTTTCTCAGTTAGATTTTTATACATCCCTTATGTTGATGTTCATAATCAAATCAAAATCCAATATATTTATCACTTCAATTTTTAATCTGCTAGGTGAATAATTCAACTCCAACTGGAACCCCTTTGGGGCTGCTGCTAGTCCCAAGCCCGAATAAAGGAGGAGGGTTGGGTATGGGGTTAGCAATCCCATCCCGTAGAAAACTAACTCGCTAAAAAACGCTAACCAGGTGAACAATTCCCAATAGTCCTTTGTAATAAATTCCATTAAGTGAATGGATATTATTTGTAAAATATTTATCAATCACATTTACATAATTGATAAAACTTATTAGTAAAATATACCTACAATTTTGAAAGAAATGATATCATCTTAATTTTATAGCTATAATAATAATAATATTAGAATGGGTTTTGTGGAGATTTTTTAGAAATTTCACCTGCTCACTAGTGACTGACTTCAGGAGACACTCCTGGAGTTCTAGTGAGAAGTCGTTACCAGTGGAGTTCAAACAGGTCTGTTGTGAGATATCAGTTCACTGAAGACAATGGTGTACGGTGGCGCAACTTCATGGATTGGTTGAAGTTAGACATTAGCATCACTGGATGCCGGCTCAGTGGTCTAATGGTTAAGTGCTCGCACTGCTGAGGAGTCCCATACTAGGACGAAACGGCCGTCCAGTGCTTCCGGGTTTCCATGGTGGTCTAGCTTCAATTGGCTCATGATTTCAACTTGTGAAATAATAATAATAATAAACATGAATCAATGAAATCTCTTAAGACAGTTGGATTGATAAATGAAACAAATTTTAACTTGTGTACACATTTAAACATTTACACATCGTGGATACGCACTGTTGAGGAGTCTCATACTTAGACAAAAACAGCCGTCTAGTGCTTCCAAGTTTTCAATGGTGATCTGTGAGAATACTACAATCTCCACGAATTCCCATACTGATTTACAAATTTGTAAATAAGAGAATACATGTAAAAACTACATAGACTATTCAAATTCAGAAGACAAAAAAAGAAAGAAAAGAAGCATTAATATTCTTAACAATCAAGAGAACATACTTAAAATTTCTTTCCATTCATTTGAAGCTGGATCATATGATTTTAGATAAGAAGTATTAATTTGTGACCATATTTTATCCAGTCTTTCCATATTTTCTAATTTATTCATATTATCTGATTTACTACTGATTATTGATTTATTCTTTTGATTATTATTTTGATCAATATCCTCTGGTTCTGATATTGACATTGTTTCATCAATATCTAATTCATAATTAGGTACACTAATATCTGATAAATTGTCATTATGTTCACTTAATGGATTATCAATTTCATTTTCATAATCAGTATCATCTAATTGTATCGGATCATATTTATTTATGATACAATCAACTGAATTTAATTTATTGTATAATTTAAACAAAATTTCTTTTGTATCTTCATTCTCCAGTTGATCAGTAGTATCTTTATTTAGTTGACAAGTTTTATTCAATGATTGATCAGAATTAGTAGATAAAATTGTTTGAATGTATTCAGCTGCATATAAAATACAGTCGGTTAAATGATGAATTGAATCGGAACAATCTACTGATTTTTTATTGATTTTGTTTATATTATTCAGCACACGATCTCTTTTAGTAATTAAATCCTAAATTCAAAGGGAAAAATTAATAATAATGAGACTATGAAGTTAATTTAATCAACAAGAATAAGTTCAAGTGTCAGATTTTAATTTATTAGGGAGTGAGTGATCTACGGACCGCTATCCTTTAATCCCCTATGATCTTTTATTATATTAATTCATTGTTATTATTTTTTATAGAAGTATATCAATTCATTACATAAACAACTTATTCTTTTGCTGAGTGATTTTGTTTTTTTTATTTGAAATCATTCAGTGGCTTACGTCAGTAGTCTAGTCTTGATAATAATTACCATTTAGTCACTTAGTATCATCTCAGTCATCTATCGATCAGTGTTCTTTTTTTATTTTAACAATCGAAAATCTATTCATTGAATCATTCAATTCCTCTTCGATAACAGAAGCAAATTGTGTCTTTTAACAAGGTTTGTCAAAGTCAACTTATCAATAAATACTACTTCATATAACTTTAAATGTTTTTCATTTCAAAAAGAATTCACTTCGTCAACTTGCACTAAGCTTATCAATAACGAAATTCTATAGGTTTAATCAAGCTCACTAATTCTCTGTTGATACTTGCTTCAGGTGTAGAAGCGGCAGCATTCTGATCATAGAACTGAAACTTCAACCTATGGTAACGTCTTAACCTACCTTGGTTTAACTAGTCCTCACACAAAAATTGTTTTTTGAAGTCAAGTACATAAATCTTTATCTAGAAAACGAGTTATATTAAAACTTTTCTGAGAATATAGTCAAGGTTCCCTACGAGAAGGTTACTCTTATAGCAATAGTCATTTATATTTTGATAAATATTAGCAAAATTAACTAGTTAGAAGAGTGTTACACATTTTCATAATAAAGAGTATATAGTATGTTCAACAGTCAGTTCGGACTTAATTTACGTCTGATAGGTACTTTGGACAGCATTAGAGCAACTCCCTGAGTGTGCGGAGCATTGTCCTTTTCATGACCGGAGTATAGTAACATCTCTCCCGTATTTAGCCTTTGTTGTCCAGCTTGGGTCCAATGGGTTTTGCTGATTCCCAGTACTGCCAAGTTGTATCACCTCATTTCCGTTGCTATTTGACTGGTCTTCCCGGTCTCCCACATTGTTCGGATGTTCCATGTACCTATAAAAATTGTTGCTCTGGTTGTTAGAAGGGTCATCGGCCTCGTGGCTTCCGAAGGAACTCGGCTTTCACCATGAAGCGTCGTAATTTTTCTAAATGAAGACCTTCTAACTCTCAGGGCAGAGTTAAAATGGTTTGGATTATTTTTTCTGGTAAGCGTTTTTTTAGCGAGTTAGTTTTCTACGTGATGGGGTCGCTAACCCCATGCCCAACCCTCCACCTTTACTCGGGCTTGGGACCGGCAGTAACTCTAGAAGAGCTACAGGCGGAGTTTATACTTATTGAAGATGGGAAGTGGTTAATATGAATTTAAACAATTGATCCATGCGAAACATTAATTATCCGTTTTAACAATAGTGAATCAGTAGTACTGTATCTACCTTCAACTTTATACATATATGTCTGAAAACTTATATCGACTGAAGAAGCCAAGCCATTCATAGAAAGAATTCTGATGTTTACAGAAAACGTAATACGAAATTATTTAATCCATTAATTTTGAAACTAAGCATTCTGTTTACTTGGTGACTGTAGGTTACTGGAGATTTGATAGTTCAAATCATTAAAAATTTTAAAATTTATCAAAAGAGACCATAAGTGATATAATTTAAAATAAACTGCAGTGATGTAGGTGCCTTCGTATTTTTTAAATCTTAACCTAAATGTTGAATTCATTTGTATCCTCTTTTTTCCTAAATCTTTCTCTTAAACTTTATTCATTTCTGCCGATTTTCTCTTCATGTAAACATGGAAAATGTAATACCTGTCATCAATTTCTTTTCTCTATGAAAGTTTCTATATTACTGGCTTTTTTTTAAGTCTTACACCAAAACACAAACAATCTTTTCGCTTCATCTTATTATAAATTAACCAATAATTGACATTACTTTCATCACTCTACATCAACTTCATTGACTACGAAAAGGCATTTGATAGCGTGGACAGAACAACACTATGGAAACTTCTTCGACACTACGGCGTGCCTCAGAAGATAGTCAATATCATAAAGAGTTCATATGATGGATTACACTGCAAAATCGTGCATGGTGGACAGTTGACAAAGTCGTTCGAAGTGAAGACCGGTGTTAGGCAAGGTTGCTTACTCTCACCCTTTCTCTTTCTCCTGGTGATCGACTGGATCATGAAGACATCAACATCTGAAGGGAAGCATGGGATACAATTGACATCTAGGATTCAGTTGGACGATCTGGACTTCGCAGATGATCTGGCTCTTCTATCGCACACACAACAACAAATATAGGAGAAGACGACCAGTGTAGCAGCAGCCTAAGCAGCAGTACGCCTCAACATACACAAAGGAAAATCCAGATTCTCCGATACAGCACAGCATGCACCAATCCAATCAAAATTAATGGAGAAGATTTGGAAGATGTAAAAACCTTTACATATTTGGGCAACATCATTGATGAACATGCTGGGTCTGATGCAGATGTGAAGGTGAGGATTGTCAAGGCAAGAGCAGCATATTTACAACTGAAGAACATCTGGAACTCAAAGCAACTGTCAACCAACACCAAGGTCAGGATTTTCAATACAAATGTCAAGACAGTTCTACTGTATGGGGCAGAAACCTGGAGAACTACGAAAGCCATCATCCACAAGATACAATTGTTTATTAACAGTTGTCTACGCAAAATACTTCGGATCCATTGGTCGGACACTATTAGCAACAACCTGCTGTGGGAGAGAACAAACCAGATCCCAGCGAAAGAAGAAATTAAGAAGAAGCGTTGGAATTGGATAGGACACACATTGAGGAGAGCACCCAACTGTCACAAGGCAGGCCGTCACATGGAATGCTCGAGGCCAGAGGAGGAGAGGAAGACCAAAGAACATATTACGCGGAGAAATGGAGACAGACATAGGAAGAATGAACAACAATCGGATAGAACTAGGAAGGAAGGCTTAGGACAGTGTGTGTTGTAGAACACTGGTCGGCGGCCTATGCTCCATTGGGAGCAACAGGCGAAACTAACTAACTATTTATTCTATTATGCATGATAATTTGCTCACTTCAACTTTTGTGTTTAATAATTGTTTCTCATGTTCTAGTTCATTACATTTATTGTTTAAATTCAAATAAATTTCTTTCTTTTCATTAGCTTCTTTAATTTTCTCATCAAGTTTCACTTGAAGTATTGATAATAAATGAGATACCTTTGTTTAGAAAAAGTAACAAGCAGAGAGGTAAAATAAAAGGAGGTAGATATAAAATAGTTATGAAGTACTAATTTGTACAATTTATCTATCAAATGATCAAATATTACCTAATACAAATCTAAAAAACCACGTAAACATTTTATCACAAAAAACAAACCAATGAAATGATTGTGTGACCTTGGAGGTAGTCGACAGGAGACCCTGGATCTTGGTTTCATGTTACCTGGTACCCGTCACCAAGGTATACCTGTAATCTTGAAGGAACTGACGCTCCCTGACGGATTCAACCCCATGTCACCCAGCATAACAATGAGACGCTACTACTGAGCTAACCGGGACGCGACTGACCTCATGTAGGACTGGTATGTTTTTACAATTGATTGATCATTGGGTCATATGTGTCAGGTCCTTCTTAGTGCAGGTCGGATTCTATCGACCAAGTTCCCACAAGATTACAAGTTAACCTTGCTGACGAGTGCTGAATAGCACGAAACCTATGTACATTGTTTCCTGTAGACTACCTCCAACCACCATCTTATCTCAACATAGTGCGCGCAATGTCGAGTCACCTAGACTAGCGGCCACATTGCAACATGGTCGATAGAATTCGATTTGCACTAAGAAGGACCTGACATACATGGCATTGATCACTACCCAGTGATCAATCAATTGCAAATGATTGAGTGACCATTTATAACTAGTTTTAAACCAATCTAAATTTTAACACATGACCAACAAGAAAGTTAACAGAACGGTTTCCTAAATGCAGCTATGTTGGTAATAACTGAGCAACGGTTAAATCTTACTTTATCAATTGTTCACCATATTTTAACAAGTTAGAAATAAACATTATCTCCAATTCACTAACAATAAGTTTAAGGTTTTACTACAATATGTGTAATCAGCTACAATCAAGCTGCTAGGTTGAGATAATATGTAAGATCATGTTTTAATTCAGTGTTATAACTGTTCAGTATATCTACAACTGATTGATCACTGAATAGTGTCAAACATCAGTACTTAGTGAACAATAAAACTGTAAATCTTTCAGTTTTAAACTATTGTTTGGATTCAAGCAGCATCAGTTCCCTCAAGATTACAAGTACATCTTGCTGACGAGTACTAAGTTACATGAAACATAGGTCAAGTCTCCTATTGACTATGTCTAACCACCTAAGACTCAGTATAGCATTTGTTTTATTCTTAATACAGAGTGATTTTGGTGTAATACATGTTCAGTATAGTGTTCTTTTGTATTGCTTTAGTTTGAATTTTATCCAAAAAGCCATCCAATGTTCTTTTTTATTGATTCAGTACGAAATTTGTTCCGTGTGACATTCACTTGTATAATGCCAGCACAAAGGCCAGTTTTATTCCTACTATTTTAAATATATATGGCACTGATTGGCGACTTTTAGCAAAGGTTTTTTCTATGGGATCTGTTTGTCGACCCCACACCCAACCCTCTCCCCTTACCCGGGCTTGGGACCGGCGGTAACTTTAGAAGAGCTATAGGCGGAGTTTATATATGGTATTACTGATTGATTATTAAATGCTAGTTAAATCTATCAATAATCGAGTACTTGCTATTTGCTGTTGTTTCTGAAGGATGAATAAAACCTCATCTACATAAGTTTTTTGTCTTCTTTCTTAAGTCTAGCAAATCTTAGTTTCTTCCGGTTTTAAGTCCAGTTCCAGCTGTCATAACAAATTCTTTCAGAAAAAACACAGAAGTTAATTACTAAATATTTGGTCGTTTTTAAAGATCAGATTCAAACTTTTGTTTTATGCTTTTACTTTTTGGTAATAGTATTGGTTAGTAATTCAAAGTAGCTTAAATCAAAGGTAGATCACTCATGGTATTGTTTTTTCATGAAGGTGAGCATTTAGTCGGAACACACTTGACCATTTTTGCCTCTACACTAATAACTGATCTTCTATATATCGATGAGACGTGGAATCTGATGATTCGATCTCTGAGGGTTAATTTTGTAAATTAGAAAACATATTTGTTGAGTACAAACAAACAGCTGAATATTTTCTTAAGATTGTAGCCTCTCTAATTCTAGTTACGGTTGATGATCAAACAAACAATGTCAGACACTTTTTATGACTTTTCCAATTAAATACACTCAACGTAAAGGTGACGCGATTTCAGATATATATTTCCGTTACTGCAGCAGCTATCCTCAGTCAATTATTTGTGACGATTCGTAGCAGACATCGACTATTGGTTGAACGCTTGAAAAACTACAAAAATCGAGAGAGTAGTACTGAAGTTACACGGTGAACGAAGGCGATAGAGATTTGGTATGAAGATTAGATTCAAATCTAGGGTTACAATTTAGGAGGGAAATAAATTTTCATTGTTGGTTTTTTACTCCCTGTTAAAACCAACTTCATCCAGAAAAACAGTATTCAAAATGATTTGATCTGTAGTAGTGAAAAGAAATTACAACAGATCATCATCTACATCCATCCTCAAAATCCAACAAGGGCTGGAATATGACTTGGCCACTCACTATTTTCTCATACACTTCATTAATAGACATATAACCTTATCCTAGAAGATTGGCATGTGAGAATACCTTGTATCTCATATTGCAAACACCCTGAGGATTCAGTCGCGTCAGTAAACACTTCAGGAAAAAACATTATAAAACTGATCAACTTACATTCATTAATTAGAAATAGTAGACTGTGTAGCTAGTGCTAGGTAAATTATTAATGTTCACAGTATGGAGAAAAGCTGATTATTGAAGAAGTCATTATGTTTTATATTATTTTTCCAAAAAAATAACAACCAGTAGTTTTCTTTTTAAAATTACTTATTTTACTCGATGAAACAGGATGGGAAAATTTTTAAAATGGGATGATTAAAATTTTAGCATTAAGAAAAATACAAAAATCCCCATGATTTAAGTGCTATTTCAGAAGTGAGATAATTTGAAATTATATTATGAGAAACGTGATCTTAGATAATGTTTTTTGTAGCCCGTTATTTTGACGCCAATTATATCAAACGATAATGTTGTAGAATGGCTCACTACTTTAATGGCCCTAAATCTGACTCCATTTAGATCGTGTGAATGATTGTTATTGAATGATTCATTCCACCAATCCTCGTATACAATCATCAACGTTAGTGAATAATAGAATTAAATAAGTCAAATACGAGAATGGATTTTTGAATACACATGTTTCGTACATTCATTGATCGGATAGTGAAGCAAACAAAGTGACGCGCAATGGAGAAGGCAAGTGAGTAGACTCGTCTTAATCAGGCGTGACTCGATACTTATAGTCAGAAAAAATAAGTTACAGATATGTGATAAGTAAGATAAGAAATGCACACACATACGTTGCATAAAAACAGTTAACATTGGCAAGCGAATTATTAACAAGGTCAAAATGTAACTCAAAAAGGATGAATAAATTGGTCTGTCCGGAAGCTAGAATATGCTATGTGGGCTTAACGTAGCAACCGACGCCATATATACAACATATAGGTTTTTGAATGGATACCCATTGTTTGTCTCATATCGTATCATATACATCAAACATGTTACTGGTTTAATTGTCTTTAATGTGAATCTCTAAAAGCAAAAAGTTTGAATCATAAGCAATTCGAAATATCACACAAAGATGTTTAAGTACAGAAATATCTATTTGCTAAAACTTAAACAAGTGTTACAACAAATCTCTAATCTTAACGAGCACATTGCAATATTATATGAAATGAAAAATATCGAATGGCAGTTTTAAACATGCAAAATGTTCAACTTCCAGTGGTTATGTAGGGGAACGGAGGAATTAACCTATATTTATGAACAGGAGTTGTTATTAATAAACTTTGATAAGTTAGAATTCAGATGACAACTAATAAACGCTTACCTATGCAGTGTAGTGTACGTTAAAACAAGTAAAATAATCACTGATTACAAATTATTAGCAAAAATATGCGAATTAAGGCCTTATTCTTACTGATAAGGTCAGATTATTAACTTTAATGATCATGTACGCAATTTCAGGTTTCGTCAATAAATAGTACACACCAGTATATTGACTAAAACAGTCTCGGCATCTCATGTGCATGTGACCCACCTGACGTATTGTTAGTGTGAATATAGACCTTTGTTATAAATAATTGTCCGACTCTGACTTAAATAGTCGTTACACACATGAAGTATCCCATATTTACTTTCTCTGCTACCTATACATTAGATTTGAAAATCCAAGCGTTTCGGTAACTGCTCGTCGGTAGGTTTATCTGATAAGACATAATAATACATAATGGTTCTTTTTTCATTGAAATTATGAATTAATCAATATTTGATCAACAGTGAAGACTTGGAAGCACTGTACGGCCATTTCGTACTAGTACAGGACTCCCAACAAGTGTATACCCACGACTCCATTCGCAAAATCCCAGTCCTCGCGCGTGAACGCTCAACTCTCAGGAAAGATAAGGGACTATTAGAAATTTATATCTTCAAAAATCTTTTAGAAACTCACCTTTAGTATGGCTGAACTACGAGTACTTAATAAAATCTGTTCTTTTTCTAACTTTGATTGTTCATCAGTTAAGTGATAAAATTCTGTCAACAAATCAACATTTTCTCTACTTATATCAGCTATAGCCACGGAAAGTTTCACTAACTGATCTTCAATAGAAACATTTTCAGCAAGCATACGTTTTATAGTTGGTTCTGTTCGTTGAAATGAAATGGAACGAAATTCCGAAGCAACCTAAGAAATATTAAATTAGGCAAATAATAATGCACAAGATCATGAATCGATTGAAGTTAGACATAAACACTGTAGGATGTCTAGAGGCTATGCATTCTCGCGCGGGACCAGAGGTCCTGGGTTCGAGTCCAGCGTGAGGAACCGTGGATGCACACTATTGTGGAGTCCCATACTGAGACGAAACTGTCGTCCGCTGCTTTCAGGTTTTCAATGGTGGTCTAGCTTAGATCGAATCATGGGTTCAACTTTGAAAATAATAAGTTGTTAAAAACTCATTAACCAGCAAAATGAATATTTGCGCTTAAAAGTAACTAAGTTCACACAATTTAAATATATGAGTGACAAAGTTAACCTTAACTACCTACAGTTATTTTAATATAAATATATATTGCAATGTGCAACGTAGTTGATTGTAATTAAAAGATTTAGAGGTACGTTAGTGGTACATCAGCACTTTTTAATGTTTAAACATTGATTTTAATTCGGTTGATGTTCAATCGCATGAAATGACAAACCATTCATATCAGTGAATATCGTCAAAGTCGTCCCTAGCAGACCAACACTAATATTATATTGATCAACGTCACCAAAAATGTTGCATCATGATTGCCAAAGATCAAAATCCAATCAATAAAGGACTCACAAAACCTGTTCAATAATTTATTAACCTACAAAATTATTTCATGATGTAATTGTGGAAATGTTAGAGAACTAGTTATAAGAAGCGAAAACAGTTTTTAACCATTTTTCACGAATGGACCATCCTTCATCAACCTTTTTTATAAGATTTAAGTGGATTGATTGAATGTGATTTTATTCCCAAGTGAAAACGATAAAATATGAGAACGGCCAGAATCATTACAACAATATTTTTGATAAAAAAAATATTTTGTACTCATTAGTAGTATGAAACTTTTCCATTAAGTTACATTAGTTGCAATCAGTTTACATCAAAAAGTTAGATAACAAAACAATTACCATAGATAACTAAATGGAACACAGTTGGTAAAACAAATTTGTGACCAGATACATTAAAGTGATTGGTGAGATGAAACAGTATTCAATAAAGCCCACTCTAAATGTAGAACAATCAAGAGAGATGGTTATATTCACTTGCTTTAATCGGACTGTTTTATATAAAACATTCAATAAGTCAATTAACTAGAGGCAGTCCCGATGCTGAAAATATGTGTAATTATTGGTCTGTAAAGCGTGTGACAGTGTTCAAGCAGTCGGAGGAGGGTGAAAATTTAATCGGTGCACCAGCAACCAGAACAGAAACTGTTCTGTTACTTGCGAGTGAGTCTTTAATTTATTCAGTATAATCCATGAAATCTGACAAGAGCAAATAAAATCTATTAGATTTTCGACAAAGAAAGTGTAGCTTATTACGAATAAAGTTACTAAAATATTTAATTTAGACCCAAACTTGATTGAAACAAGCAATATTGTAATACAGCATTTAATTGTTAGGCAAATAATTATTTGATCAGAAACACCTATTCATGGTATATCTAAAAGGTTGTTCTTGATATACCGTGTATAACGTGAGCACAAGAACGCCAGAACCCTTCCAAGTCGCAGTGAGAAGACAGAAGACTAATGAAAGGAATATTATTCCCAGACAGTGTCAATTATAGTACAAAATTGTCAGGTAGAGTTTTTAGTATGAACAAAATCATCATTACAGTCCACCAATCCGCATACAAGGGGTTATTAGCATTGTCCAATCGGGAAGCTACATGTAGGAGTTCTAGAATATTCTTCCAGAAGGTGATCGGATGGAATATCTTCGGCTCCTTCTGAGCCTCCTACAGATTCCTCGAGTTCACACGTGGTCCGTCGTCACAATTCAATTCTCGGATACTCTGTGAGTATTATAAAATTATATATTTGTTGATCATTTTTAACAAAACTGGTTCTTTCGGCAGAATGTATGTTTGAAGATTTTTCGAATATAAAAATATTTACGTCGTTGAATTTAACTATGATTAAATAAACTTACTTTCTTAACAATTAGAAATAAGAAGAGAAATTACCTCATTAATTTTTAATTTAGTGACTTTTTTCAATCGTCCCCTATAAGCTAGATCCCTTTCTGATAAATTTTCCATAGCTAACTTATGTTCATTTTTTATCTGATCAAGAGTAGATTCTAAATTATGATAATGTATCCAAAGGGCTTCACGATTTAATCGAAATTCTTCAAGTGAAGCTAATTCATTAGCTAGTTTAGAAAAAAGAAATAACAGAGAATAATAAAAGAGTTTTATAAAATTCAAGTTATTATGGTATGATTTGATACAAAAAGAAGAAAAACTTTAAGCCAGCTATGCTCTGTCATGCCTTTATACTATATATGTAATGAACGAATATTCATGTGGGACAATGAATGTATTTTAAGACAAAATTACAGTATCCTGATAAAATATAAGAACCATACATTAAATGCTTGATTTGTAAAACTCCAAAATTTGTCTTTCACATTACGTATGATTCTTTCGATTCACAATTCCTTTCTAATTCCGTTCCTGTTCTCATCAAGCCAACCTTCATAAAATTCTGCTGCCAGGTTCTCCACTTCCGATTGGTGTTACATGCTACATACGTCGACGGGAATAAGTAGCATACAACATATTTATACATAAATCTTTAACGAATACAATTTATCATAAAATAGATTCCTACAGGAGCTTGTCAATAGTATGTATTACTACTGCAAATCTGTTAGCGGCTGACAACTGTTTCTTTGAATCATCTTAGCAATGTGCGAACATGACCAAACCAAGAAAGTAATAGTCCATTATTGTATCTAACCCAAACAGAAATACTATCCGACTAATGGTTCGATTCTTAGTAGTTCACACATTTAACTAGCTAGCAATATGTATCAAACACAACTCCATTTCGTTAGTGAGTAAATGCTTACTTCTAACTTTACTGATTCAAGACATTGAATACGCACGTCCTCAAATAAATGATTAACAAATTATGGAACCTTATTCAGTTAAAACATTGTAAGAATTCAATAAATTTTAAGTTGATTCTCACCCTGGACTGATGTTGAATGAATAAGTGAATACTGGTCGGGAGACTTAGGCTGATACGAACCAACTATTACGTTTCAAAACTCTTAACAAAAATCAATAACTGCTAGGTTTGAAGCTATCACAAGTTCACTTAATCTGAGAACGAGAACAAGACTCGGTGACCAAAGACCAGTAAGCTAGCTATTGATACGTCCCAGCCCCGCTAGCTAGAGGTAGAAGTCCAACCTTGGAATGGGAAGTATATTCTGCAAAACAGCCAGAACGAGCGATAACAACAAACGTAATTCAAAACGTATATATACAGTGCAAAAGCGTCATTGGGGAGAGTTACCAAATAGCATACTAAAAGACACAACGGACCAATAGCATTTAAGACAATTCCCAGTGGGAAACACGACATGAAGGTGACAAAAGCGCCTTTCGCGCGAAAACAAAGAAATTCAAATTTTCTAAATAAAATTACAAAATCAGATCCTTTTTCAAGTGAGTTCTGGGGATCAAACGTCCCCAAAAATAACATATTACTAAATAAGTGCTGATATTGATAATACCTAGAAAACAATTATTTCATTTTATTTAGAACACATGAAATGAATATATCTGCATCAAAATGATTTTAGTGTACCTACTGTATGTACTTCAAATACAAACCTTCCACTATGTTGCTGTTACTATTAAACTGATATTTTCCTCTCTCAATTATAATTTAAATAAGTTTATCAGAACTATGTGATATATTTGCGCAATACATTATGAGTATTTTAGTCATACATTTGCTTTTTAAGACATTTATATACTGAGAAAATAATAATCAGCTAGACAAATTGGAATATTTTAGAACAAAAAATACAAAGATAACAATGAAAAAATGGAAATCTAATCACAGTACTCAAGACAATAAATCAATGCAATCGAGGCAGGTTCATTGTAAGCACAAATTGTTTTTGAAAAAATAAGTAGAGCCTGGAAGCACTAGACGGCCGTTTCATGCTAGTATGGGACTCCTCAGTAGTGCGCATTCACGACGCCGCCTCGCGAGCGCTTAACCATTAGACCACTGAACCGTCCGGCGTCTAATGGTGTTAATGTCCAACTTTAACCAATCCACGAAATTGCGCCACCGTACACCATTGTTTTCAGTGAACTGATATCTCACAACAGACCTGGTTGAACTCCACTGGTCACGGCTTCTCACTAGAACTCCAGGTAATGCCTCTTGAAGTCAGTTACTAGTGAGCAGATGATTATTATCAGAAGGGGTTTTGTGAAGATTTTAGACATTTCAATAGTTGAAATAAGTAAAGGTTAAAACTTCATATAGTCAATGCTACAACAAAACTTAAGTAATTTTCTAAGACAACTTAAATACAAAATTACAAACTCTAAGTTAAGATCAAACTTATTCATTATTTCAACCACGTTTGACAACAAGGGAAAATGGATATTTAATTTGCAACTATTTTGATACCATAACTTTCAAATCATTTTTCAATTACAATAATCAATGAAATAAAATAAATTATTTTTCTAACCAATTGCCGAATTTTCTGCCATCATTCTTTCTTCAGTAGATTTCTTTAAATTTTCTAATTCATTTTCTCTAGATCTCCATTTATCAAGATTTGTTCTAAAAACACGTTGTATAGCTTGAATACGTTCAGTTAAATCAGCCGCTTCATTGATTCTCTCATGATATCTTTTATTCAATGTTCTAAATTGATCTTGACATTCAAAATCACTGGCATGATACTATAAAATAGTAATATGATAAGGATTAAAAAAGAGAATAATTAAATAGCTAAAGTGTAATTATTATGACTTTGTGTTCGGTTTTTTATCACGTGATTTATCCATTAATCAAAATACGACTTATACAATCTTCGCACTGTGCCAAAACCAATGACGTTCGACCAGTATGGGCAGTCTCGCGTTCCTATTGGTCCTACGTCCGCCTAGCCCGTCCACTTGAGTCCAGAACACTAAATACCAGCTTCCAATATGCGAATCGAATCGAATCTTTTGTTATAGACATACTGTGTTTGAGATACATACATACATAGTGCCCGCAGTGTCGAGTCACCTAGACTGGTGGCCACATTGCAACATGATCGATAGCATTCGATCTGCACTAATAAGGACTAGACAAGCATGACATTGATCACCACCCAGTGATCAATCAATTGTGACATACTGTGTTTATATATCAATCAAACAGACGCAACGCACCATAAAATAAGAAATAACATTTGTACACGATAAAGCCAAAAAGTGACTGTGAACATGGGAGGCAGTAGTTAATAAACTGAACATAGCTTAAGAACCGTAAATCGTACAATAATAAATTATAGGTCAAAATAAAGCTTATAATAAGAGGAATATAAATATAGATAGCCTAATTATTGAATAGTTATAGCATAAGAATGTATAGATAATATTAGTCCATTAATAGGTCTCAGAAGTTACTCATGATTTAATCTTCACGAGGATATAATCGAAATCAATAGAATCACTGTTAAAAAAACGATAAAATATTAGTTAAGTATATATTTAACCTGAACTCAAAGTTTTTTAAACAGTGAGATTTATCAGAACATTCTATTTAAGCGACTAGAGACAATACAATGGCAGTGTCAAAATCATATGAATCTAAGTTGCTTGATATATACATAGTCTTCGGACAATCATGTACAGAGCTAATGTTAACTGTTAAGCATCAGTTCACTTGCAAAAGAAAAATACCGTCAAAGTTGTATCCAATTGGATCATCCGAGAAAATAGTGGTTACGAATATCAAATGACATCTCATTTACTATGCCCGAATTCTTATGAGGTAGAAGTTCTAGTTACTTGACAAACTCTATCATAGTTCTGTAACATCTACAATGGGAATGAATTTCGTAATTTATATATTATTTTAAAGTTCACACACAAACACTAAAAACTGTCTAGTAAAAGGCGCTGATCACTCAATTTACTTAGAGAAAAGCCTCAATCTTGATAAGTTGAGGAAAAAAAGATATCAGAAGTTGTACAAAAAGTTCATCCATGATTTAATAATCTAAACCCTCTTCAGAGTCATATAGAAGAACTAATGTTATTTTATTATTACTATTGAATAATATCTGTATACTATGAGACATTTTATTCCATATCTAATTGATATATATTTATTTACATTCTGTTCATCTTTTAATTGACACTGAATACTGATCTTACCCATGCTTCTACCATCTAAACTACTTAATTAGCTTTAATAAGCTATGATTTCTTATTGTTCAGATACAGTTAAATCAAATAATTTATGACTTTCACAGTCAGTCAACTACAACGTAGTAGTGGCTCGGATGAGTTGGAAGAACTACCGGTAATTACCAGATGCAACTGTTGCTTCCAACTCATTAGCACGCTCCGACCACTAGGCTTCTCGGTCCTTACGCAAGCTTTGCCCAATTTCCTTACGTAACATCCTTCGTTTGTGGTCAAACTCACGGTCACCCGGAGTAGACCGACGGGCTTCAATGAGTTGTAAGGAGCCTGAAGAAACCCAGTGTTTATAAGCGGGACGTTTCGCGAACCCACAACTGACTGTACCGCCATTTTCATGGAGTCATGCAATTGCAACCAATGCTCATCTATACTTTTCGGTGGAATGGTAGCTAGCCTAGAAACTAGCTCGGTTCGATACTTACTAGCAACAGAAGTTACAACCAGCTTGCTAACATCAATCCGTTGGTGGCGGTCACTTCGTTGTCCACTGAAGAGTTAGGTAAGATTGGCGCAGACCAAGGCATGATCAGTGTCCAGATAGGTACTCCAAAAGGAGCGGCAGTCTTGTACACAACTACGCCAGCGGTAGCTGATCGCGATGTGATCGATGTGAGTCCAGGCATGAGATGCAGAGGGAGGACGCCAGGTGGCACATCGGCGATGACTGTGCCGAAAGTTAGTGCTAGCCAGAAACAGACTGTGGTCTGTGCACAGTTGCAGTAGACAGTCCTAGTTATCTGACCCGCGACCAACGAGTCCCCATAGGCCACCTAAACGACTCTCTTCTGTGCCTAGACGCCCGACCTGAGCATTCAAGTTTCCGGCTATTACTACAATATCTGTCGAACGCACTTTCTGGAGAAGAACAGATAACTGGTGGTAAGTCTCATCCTTGATTGCATCCGGGCTGCAATCTGTCGGGGCATAAATAGAATCAAATTACTATCAAGATATAAAAACATTGTTCAGCTCAATGAGAGTTAACAGTTTGGCTAAGAAGAGATAATCAAAGAATAAAAACTACGTGAAACTTTGGCAATTTTTAATTGATTAGCTTTTATACTGTGATGTGAGCTACTCATATCCAAATAAGTAGTATATAATGATAGTCAGGCATAGAATGTATTTCAGCAGAAGATCGATAAAGAAAGAACAGAAACGGAAGGTAATTGTTATTAAAATGCAGGAACAATGAAATCTGAGACAATGGACTGATATTTGCAAAAGGAAAAGTCAAGTTTGGAACCATTGATTGATATTTCGCTAATTAAGTACTTACTGCATGGTTCTCAGATTTTAGTGACATATTCCGTAATTTCGCGTTCAAATACATTCGATTTCCCCACTCGTGTTCTTGTTCTCTGCAATACTACTAAATAGTACTCATTGTACAATAGTTCTACGATACTTTTATGTAACTCTAATTATTAGCTTTTATTAATTATGTGGTGTATAATTATAGCTCTTTCTCATTAAAAAAAGATAACAATCTATTAACCACGAGTATTTTTTAAAAATTGAAATGGTAATTATCATGGTTGTGTACCTTAGGGATTTTTAGTGCTGTGTTTTCTGATACTTCGATTGTGTATAATTATAAACATCAAAATTATCTCAAGAAACTTGTGATTATAAATCGAGGTTTTGATTTAACGCTTAAGAGATTTCGTGATATAATGACGCTGTGATGGATCATTAGTCAATGCCACCGACAACTCTAATATTGTTATATTTGATACAAATCTGATTGGACCACCCATTCAAAGTTTACATTTGACTGACTGAATAATCTAGAACACAGAGTAATGTGAAACTGACCAAGATCTATTGGATACATTTAAAAATTGGGATCATATCTTCAACAGTTTATAACACCAGTCATTTTGTGCACTTTATGTATGCGGCTACATTCTAAGTCATTAGTTAATGACAAATTAAAATGACCTTAATGTAAATTAAAGGATTTTAGTAAACATTTTAACTGACCAGAAACTAACTTCTACAACAACAAGGTTACCTTTGTTATAATTTTTTCATTTTGCATGGATAATTGTTTAATATAATCCTCATATGCATTTACTTGCATTTCTAATTGTTTAATTACAAATAGATAATAATCCTGACCAAATGATTGAATTGTTGCATCATCTAATTCATCGATACTCTGTAGTAAATCATTATTTAAAATTAATGGATTGTTTGACTTTTTATTAGTACTACTTAATTTTCGTGAACTTTTACGTTGACTACGACTGCCTGATGATTTATTCTTTTTAGGAGGCTAGAAAAGACAAAACAGCAGCAACGCTGAAATACATCATTAAGAGAATAAATAGAGAGTCGCACAGAAATGAAAATATTAACAGTAGTATGTTAAATGGTTGTGAATGACAGTGGTAACATAGTTAACTGTAACAGATATTAAAAAACCTACTAAATATAACTAGTAAGCAACTATAAATCGCTATTGAAACACAAAAATAAACCCAATGAATAGCTGAATAGGTGATAGAGTGCTTGCTACAAACTTGGAAATAATTTATTCAATGATATTATTTGATAACGTCAGAAATACGATAAAACAGCTGTCTGTTTTATCCATTATTTCAGTGATGACCGAATTAATATGTCAACTAGAGAATAAAATTTTGTCGCAAAAAATAAAGAACTTTTTAAACATTCGGTTGTTGTGAAATCAGATTCTTAGGAAACAAAGAACGTACAAAAACTACAGCAGACTGAAATGTGTTATCAATCGGCATCCAAAAATACCTTCAGTGATGAACGTATTAACTTGGAAACTAATGGATATTTAAATCCGTACTTGCAAATGATTAGACTAATAACCTATTTTCAATCGAATCACGCTTGACGAGGAGGATTTGGAAGATGTAAAAACCTTTACATATCTGGAGAGCATCATTCATGAACACGCTGGACCTGATGCAGGTGTGAAGGTGCGGATCGGAAAAGAAAGAGCAGCATATTTACAACTGGAGAACATCCGAAACTCAAAACAACCGCCTGCAAGCCAACGTCAAAGTCGAAATTTTCAATACAAATGTCAAGACAGTTTTACTGTCTACTGGGGCGGAAACTTGAAGAACCACTAAAGACATCATCCAGAAGATACAAGTGTTTATTAACAGTTGTCTACGTAAAATACTTCGGATCCGTTGGCCAGTCACTATCAGCAACAACCTACTGTAGGAGAAAACAAACCAGATCTCAGTAGAGGAAGAAATCAGGAAGAAGTGGATAGGACACACATTGAGGAAAGCACCCAAATGAGTCACAAGGCAGGCCGTCACATGTAATGCTCAAGATCAAAGGAGGAGAGGAAGATCAAGGAAAACATTACGCCGGGAAATGGAGATATACATGAGAAAAATGAACAAGAATTGGATGGAACTATGAAGGAAGGCCCAGGACAGAGTGGGCTGGAGAATGCTGGTCAGCGGCGTGAGTAAGTAAGTAATAACCTATTTTAAAGGTATTAATCAATAGTAATCTTTACTGGACATAAATTAACCTGGATTTCTCTATATAAAAGATGAACATTAAATTTTCAACAAGTTGGAATTTGAACTACTTAGATTCGAACGCAAGTATTTCAAACATTAAAGTAATAGTGAGTGATAAATTCAGTTTAACAAATCTGAAAAAATGTAGCTAAATAAACATAAACAAAGTAACTCCATAGAAAATTATCTGATTTCCGTTGGTTGATAGGTTAATGAATTTTTTAAAAACTTTGTCAAATTCCAAACAAATTCAAAGATAAGTGTAGGAAAAATGAATAACAGAGTACAGTAACTTTATTTACTTAAATTCCTACGTGTTGACATTTTAAGTCAATCATACTTCTTAACAGACTATCACAGTTTTGAAAAATACATAATATAAAATGTATAGATTGAACATCTATGATCTTTGAGATTAGTACTTCATTTTCTTCAAGAATACACGTGTGTTTGAAGAAACACAAGATGGTTTATAAGGAATGTGTCAAATATCTTGAATTCATAATAAAATTAGTCTCAATTAAATTTGTATTGTTGTAGGTCAGTTGGTTTTAATGTCGATTGGTTGTTAATTAACAGTATTACTATTCTTATTAATTCATCATTACTTTATATGTTTTTGGACTCCGAAAAAATTTGTGCAAATAATTATGTCATTAGCTTACCGTACATTTTTCAATGAGAACGAATCATACAAAAATTGTAGTAAATTTGGTTAATTAAAATGTTCCCCATTTTAGGGATTTTTAATCACTGACTCATGTACATGTGAAATTACAATTTAGTTCATAATCGACAAATTTAAGAATAAAGTAATTTATAGAGATTGAATTAAATAAATAATTACGTTGACAATTCAGTTTGTAAAGTAATAATAGATTTGAATTTTTAAGTATACCTAATCTGACTAAAACTAATTCATGTTTGCAGAGTCATATCAGCTGGGTACAGTGTTCTATGTTTATAATAAACTATGTTTGACATACATAATGAGATGAATCTAGTCTATTTGTGATCTAAGCTTCCTACTTTTAAATAAGTAACCCAAATTCTAATGGAATGAATTTCGCATATTTTACTGACAATCTAGCTGATAACCCTTATGATATAAGGTTTTCAATGGTAAATAGACACTTAAAATTTGGTTTACTTATTTCAAAATAAGTGAATATTGTCAAACACGAGATTTTTATGAACACGTACAAAACAAGCAGATTTGATTACATTTACTTCAGTCATTTAAATCCTGATTTAAATCTTGATGCCAAATCAGCAGAGAAATGAGACAGATTTTCTAAAAGCATATTTTGATCATACCATAAGAATAAGTGTGGCAAACAAGGTGCTTTATAGAGCCTTGAATATACTGTCACAAATAAGTTTCAAAGCTTATTACTAAACGCAATTTCATTTTGAACTAAGCAGTAGTCTAAGTTACGCTCTGATTTTGTGATCGGCAGAAACACGTTAATGTTAGTAAGGGAAAAAGTGAAACATGCTCATCGGTTGAATAGGATTGCTCGCGATTTATGCTTAAAATACTCTAATTCGTTATCTATTTCGTCAGAAACAAGTAGATAATTCAACCACAGCAAATGAGAAGAGCTATACTAACAAAAAGTAATACTAATAATACCATTTGTCTTGCTAACTTTACAAGACGATGTAGAATGTTTACAAATAAAAAATAGCAAAATAATCCTAGCCAGATACTTTGGTTAACGAGATAACTTGTAGGTTTTATCTAATCCCTAGGTCCAGGGTTTCCTGTCAACTATTGACAATCACCTTACACTAAAAAAAAATCTGCACAAAGAAATCAATACGAAAGAAATTAAGGTGCATGAACCCTAAACTTCAGGGTGATATCTTCATATCCCATTAAAGGTCATTTGATATATTGTATAGATAAGTCTGACTTTATACGATATTCTAGGAGTGTCAAACCCAAATAAGTCTCAGAAGTAAGCCAACCAGATTACAGATAACACAAAAATGCTGATATTAAAGTTTAGGTAACTGCGATAAGAACATTGATCAATGTCCGATTGTTACGTAAATACTATTCGGCGAAAAAATTATCCGCTTAAATGTTATTTTAACTCCCACACAATACTACCAAAAGTCGACTTCAATAAAAATAAACTCTAATTTAATCTATCAGCTAATGTTAAAGCAAATCTATTTAAATGTAAAACTAAATCCAGACTAACCTAATTATTTTTATGTTAATTAACAGCTTATATGTCTTGAAATGTATTCAACCTTGTTAATCAGGCAACGATAGTAAAGTATCTTACGTTTTATGTCAATAATGCAGTCGGAACAGATGAAAGTAACAAAAAACGTGGTTTTCAATAAAATTGAATAAATGAAGCAAGTCAGGAAATATTACCATTTTTCCTTTATTTCAACAAAACGAATCCACATTATTTCGTGGAGGCGATACTTTAATGAACGAGGATTTGGCTAGGGTAAACCAAATTACCGTACTGTGCAAAATTATACAGTGCATTTGTAAAATATGAAAATAATGTACTGAGTACACTGTTTGCACATCTTCCTTGAATTGTCTATTAAAAGCTGCATCGTTCTTCTATTCATGTTGCTAATCCAACTCCTTTTGTGTTTCTTTCTCTTCTCCTCATTTTCCTCCTCTGTAAGAATTCTACTCCCAATCCCTGATAATTATTACTTATATCTGTTCGTATACGTAGCACTACGATGGATTAGAATTAGACCAAACAGTTCGGACTTCATTTGCTAGAGAGTGGGAAAACTATACAATCCATGTTATTTATGACATCTAATCATGTTACTGAGTCAATACTTTGTACATGGTCATGTTATTTTGTTCTGATTTTTAAACCACTTAGGAGTTCACGACAGTCTCGTGAGCACTCATCAATTGGTTACTTCGTATTATTGTGTTTATCTAGCGATTAGCACTGTTTTCTATCATCTTGATAATCAAAAATTCTGAAACAATTAGTCCCTTTTGTAAATTTTGATAGAATCATGAGAAGAGAGAGTTGATCTATCAAAATGAATAATCCATTCATAAAATCTTAATTCATATTAATTATCGTTTATACTACTACCAGCATAATATTGAATAATAAAAATCGATTTCAATACAAATTTGGACATCAATGCCAATCTATTCGTTAAAATTAAAACAAATCTGGTTTAATTTAAAACTAATAATAAACTAAACCAATCTAATCATCTCTATATTAAACTAACAATGTGTATGAATAGTGAAAGAAAAAAGACAAACGACATGAACTAAAAGAATAGTAATTTTCATTAACCTTTTGTACAAGAAGAAGAAGAAAAAAAACTAGTGATTACCTGACAAATCAAATTACAATGGCTCAAAAATTAAAATAAATACAAACATGTAAATATTCTCAGATGATTCAAAATCTAGTTTATTATCTTAACAAAAATATTACAGAAATAGTAATAAAACCAACTGAGGAAGAATATAAAAGGAAGAAAATAATAATAATAATAACAAACATACCACTCACAAAATAAACCATAACTTTAATAGTAAAAACAAAGGAGAGAAATGAACAATAAAAAGAAAATGTAATAAACAATTTCACAATTGTCACAGAATGCTTGATCTGTTCATGGATCTGTATTCCATGCATCTTCCCATCCATTGGTTTCAGTATCCTAAAATAATAGTTTATTAGAGAGATGAAAATCTAAACAAATCAAAAAAACACTCACAGGTTTATATGAAAACAAAAAAAAGATTTTAAATTCTTAGTTAAAACGGAAAAATTAGAAAGCTTCTTTTTTGCAGGATCATAGATGCGCACTAATGCGGAGACCCTTACTGGGGACAAAAACGTCATCCGGCATTCCCAGGTTTTAAATAATGGTCTAGATTAGATCGACTAATGAATTCAACTGTGAAAATTTTCTTATTAATTACTTAAAAATAAAATAGATGATGAAAGGCCTAGATAATGATTAGTATTAAGAAACGAAGATAGTAGAAAACAATCATAAAAGGATAATGATTTTCTTTTTACAGAAAATCATGTTATTAAGTAACAGATATGCGAATAAAAATATGATTATTTATTTTCAACTATTCAATAGTTACAAAACAATGTATTCCTATGTCAAATTACCTATCCTAGTACAACAAACCTCAGAAATTAAAAGAAAGGTTTATACGAGGTATAAGAGGTACATTTCAGGTGAAATGTAGATATACTATTTTTTGAATTAAATCAAAATATTTTGTATGGAATAGATTTGTTTTCTCGTTTAATGACAAGAAGTTTGTTGATCACTAAAGGCTATCTATAACATAGATTAGAATATGTTAGTAACCACTTAATATTGAAAGTATAATGGTTATTTACCTGTAATTATTAGTTCTGTTAATTTTATGAAACCAAATGGTTCTTACAATTAATGGGTAAATGAACTAGTTACAACTGGTAACAATAATAGAAAAGAGAAGTACTATCTTAAGGAACAATCATATGGTGACGAAGTAGTCATTAAAGAAATGGTTTACAAAACAAAACACTATATACGACTGAAAACATTCGAATAATTTTAAGCTGTATCTTTGAAAACAATGAGTTGATAGATTGTACCATTTTGAAAACCTTAGTTGATCAAACTACATATGAACCTATCGTAAATGACCTTTCAAACTTTTTTTGATGTATTTACATCATAACAGATGCAAAACTTAACCGCTTTTTAGCACATGTTATTTTCGAATTCATTAATGCATAATCTTGACACAATAATTATGGTTGGCTGAATGTAGACCCTGATGACGAAGTTATTAAAAGCAATAGTTCGCTCTTAAATTCTTCGCTTTTTTAAACATGCATTTGAAGATGTAACTAAATGAAATGATCCGTAATTTATTTTGTTGTCGGGTTCGGTGCGTAACTTTGTGACAGTTTTTTTCCTTTCGATCGCTATCATAACGTATTTATTTGTCAATTTAATAATTATACACATTCCTTCTTATTGTGGATATCTTTTGAAAATTGCAATACAAAGTTGGAACAATTGGAATGTTGGGATATTACAATGATATCGTCAGTCAAGATCAACAAAGAACTTGACGCATTTATCAGTTCCAAGTTGACACACCATATTAGTATAGCGAGATAAAACAATCAAGATGAAGAATACAGCGGTATAAAAAAGTAGTACCAGCAGTAATAAAAAAAATTAGGTATAGAGGATATTGTTTGAGAAGAGACAGTTCGCGGGATAAGAGGTATAAAATAACTTGGATCTGATGACAGTTAAAAAAACAGATGCACTTGAACAGTTGGGACTCATTTTCAGCTATTTCACTTGTCCTCAACCACTGTTTATAGTCATCGTTCAGACTGTAATCAGATAATCTAGATCCGCCGACATAGCTCAGACAAACAGTCATTGACTTCATGAACTGATCTAACGTCTCGATTTAGTTACCCCTAATGTTTTTCCAATCTACTTTTATGTCAGCCAATATTGCGCTTCGAGATAGATGGTAGTCAGGCATGTTCTAAAACAAGCCCTAGCTACCAGTCATTAAAGGTTCAAAATCTTATCAACTGATTTATCATTCTCACAGAGTATGTTCAGTTTAACTTAATTGTTATTTACTTAGTTGTCCCAATATACGTGCTTATAAGACGCATATGGTCAAACACTAGTAATTGGTCAATGTCACAAAGAAATAACTTATCTGACGCAAAACTCTATAAACATCCTGTAAAAATAAAAATTATATAATTATTCAGAAAAATGGACAATTCAAAAATTACCGCATCAGCTGACTGTTCTAATGATAGTCCGCTCAATAGGTTTATTTCCATTTCATCAGGAATAACTGTGTACCTGAGAGGAGAAAATGGAATAGGTTGCTGTACAATTTTAGGTTCCATCAATGTGAGGAGTGTATCAATTTCACGTTCGTCATTAGAAATCTATAACAAAAGAAATGATTGAGAATACTACTTGATTTTTAAATTCATAACTAATATATATATATATATATATATATTGTATACCAAATATCTAAAGCTAAATATACAAATACGGGAATTTTATTTATGTATTAGAGAATTATTATAATAAAATTGTATTCACAGTTTTATGGTAAATGATGTGACTGAGAAAATTGATCCCATGCTAATAAACATTATTGTAACAGGCTGCGCTAAGCTACAAACGGATTGAAATTTCATAACACATGAGAATATATCAAGTAAACTAATCAAATAATCAGTCATTTAGTGAGCAATGTAGAGTCTGACAAAAATGTATGCAGGGTTGAGTTGGCATATTACATACAATTAGTTAGTCAATCGCAAAGTAGGACCTGATACGTACGTACATCGGTTTAAGTTGTCATACCCCATTAGCACAGGGAGATTAAATGAACCACACTAACAAAAAGAGATAAAAACTAAGAAGATGAATAGCAAAAGAAACTGGAATAATGTGGTACTGATGATCGCGGGAAAGACTGAGCATTGAGAATGTGATTCCACAAGACAGAGTGAAAAAGTATGTATGAAGGAGTACTGGAATTTAAGATCGAGAGGCAGATAAAGAGTAGGTTCATCTGCCTCATTGTGAACGATTGTAAATCATGTCACCTAGAATTTCGAACCACTAACCACGGTTATCACCCAGACGACAATCGAGTAGTCTGGATCTACCAACAAGGCTCAGACCAATAGTAATTTCATGGACTGACGGTATTTTGGTCCGAACGCCTGCCTGATAAACTTCCTGTCAACCTAATTCTAAACCAATAAACACCATACATCAATGCAGATGGTGGTTAGACATATAGTTGTGCAGTATAATAACCCTTTAACTGACAGATAAACATCTCTCCCCAAACACAATTGAACGCACTCAACTACTTTACTTCCTTTAGGCGACAGTGCAGATCAGTTCTTTGGAAACATTTTGCATTTACAGAGAGAAATGCATCTTGAACATGTTTGCATACATGCTCAATGTGATCAAAAGACTCTACATTTTGATGGTTTCTACACCGAATAGGACTGTCATCGGCATATTCTAAATCAATAAGTGAATCGCTTAGTAGCAGGCCTACTCCTGGTTAGTTAGATGAATCGTAATTTCTAAGAGGACATATATGACAAACTTAGATAAAAAGGAGGACAGTGGTGAACATCATTCGATGTTGACGATTCTGATGGCAGTTTAACAAATGCTAATATTCGGTTAGTAACTTAATCAGCTTAGCTGTTAAAACAGGATCACTATTCTCAAAAGTTAAGAATTAAGCAATATTATAGCGTTCAATCTTCAGTATTAGGCGAATTCTGTCAATCAATTCGACAAAGTAACAACAGTTGAATTATATGATTTGCTAGGATTTTCGATTATATACATTTGAATAATTTTAATAATAAAGATAAAATGGAAACTTAGTTATCATAAATATGGATATATCGACGATGTACTCTAATGGAGTTTTTACAGTTATATAGTAAATAAGCCTTAAAAATACTTGATATATATCGTATCTAAATTTATTAAACATTTTTCTTACTAATGAATTTGATTAAAACTAAACAATACAAAAGAACGATTTAGTATATTTATTTGTATACATTAGAGATCAACTGATATTAAGTCTGTTATCTTTAACTACTAAATAGAGAATATTTGAACAAATGTTTGACAATCTTTATGTACTAATAAAATGGCCTTATTAAAGAAGTTTGTTAAGCGAGTCTTAACTATACTAGCACATAACAATAATAGTAATAATAATAATAGTCAGCTGATATCAATGAAAACACAAGATATGTGACTATTCTGTTTTCAATATAGATTCGATAATATGGCATCCTACATTCCCACTTTTTAGATGTGACTTTAGAAATGAATTGAATATATATACCGATGAGTATTGAAACTCAAATACTTCATGTTTATTAGTTTAGTCAGTTAGTCATCATCAGTGCACAACCTGACAAGAAGGTACATCGGCTCAAGTCAGTACATCATACATCAGTATAGCTCCGAAAATCCCAACTGTCCGAATATTCATCCTGTTATGGAAGCTTGCACTCAAAAATCCAATAAAAAACACGGACACTTACTTCTACAGGGTTATTCAAACAATTAGAATTGCTTTCAGAATATACTAATGATTTTCCGTTAACAACCAATTCCCTTGACGATGATGATGAATAATGTACCACGGGTTTATCAACTAAACTAGAAAATTTAGTATTTTCATCAAATGTATTTTCAGTATTGCACTGAAATTTTTCGACTTCATCCAATTGACGACAATTATTATCATTATCAACATTATTATTAATGGCAGTAGTAGTAGTAGCAGTAGTCAGAGTATAAGTAATGGTACTGGCTCCCGTTATAGTACTTGACAGTTTAAGTACATCACCTGTAGTAAAAATGCATACAATTCACTGTCAAAATATTATTTTAAAAAAGAGAAAAATATGTAAACAGAACTCTAGATTGTTTATCCATTAAGTGTAATTATCATCAAACAAAATTAGGCTACTATTACTATTATTACTGACTCATATTTTCATATTTTATACAATCAACATCTGTACATGATTAAACAAGTCCTTAGCGTAGATTTAATTTATGTATATTGCATTTTCTTTTAATTGTCATTATTACCTCGAAAAAATCCTGTTCGGGATGCTAGATCCTCAGAACTCAGTAAATATCTTATTTTTGTGGTTTTATTTTGGGAATTTGAACTCGTCTTCGCGCCGAAATCGCCCATTTTCACCTTCATGTCGTATTTCCCATTGAGAAGACCTTAAATGTCATTGGTTTGTTGTCTCTTTTAATATGCTATTTTGTTACGATTCTCAAATATATTTTTATGTAGTATATATATGCTTCAGTTGTGCTTGTTGATTTTCGTGCTTCTGGCTGCTTGTGAATACATTTCTCTCTTCCGAACCCGAACTTCTCTCTCTAGTTAGCGGGGCTGGGACGCATCGGAATAGTTAGCTTATTTCGTTATTGTGTTGCCGAGTCTTCGTTCCGTTCGCAGATTTAGATGAAATGGTAATCTCCTCAAACATGGCAAGTCCACATAAGATTATTCAACAAAACGTTGGAATAAACTAAATTTAATTCGCCGAGATTATTTCAAACAATTTTTACACACAATCTCTTTCATATATTGAATGCCCAATTTCCGTTAAACTATTTATTCAAATATTGATGCATATTCATACAAATATTACTAAACAAGTTATGGAGGTCAAAGATAAACGAAAAACTAAGGTTGGGGAAAAAAGATTCAATTTTGTGAAATAAGTTTACGATAAAACTATAGGCTATATTCAACAAAAAAAGGTTAACTGTTTTGACACTATCAGTTGGTTAAAAGGGAAGCACAATGATTTCGGTGGACAGGGAAAGAAAACTAGTCAACAGGAAAAACAAACTAATCACAAATTAAGGGTATTAAAATCTCATTATAAAAAATAATTGTGGACTATTCTAGTTATTTTCATCATGTAATCATGAAATACATTGAAAATCTACGCAGACATCTATGACTACGAAATCTGAAAAGCTAAATAAAGCTAGAAGACATTAATTCATTTGAGACTTTACAATGAAAATGCTGTATGATTAAACATTGTAAATCTAAAAATATGAAAAGTCGTGACCAGTGGAGTCTAATTCGTGTCGAGTGTGACCGTTATCTACCATAAGCAATGGATGGAGGGTTACGCAAGATAATAGATTGATTACAGTTGGGCATTAATACCGATGGGTGGTGACTCAGTGGTCTAGACATTATAGGTTCGCGTGCGAGATCGAAGGTTCTGAGTTCGAATCCCATGTGTGGTCGTAGGTGCGTATTATTGAGGAGCCCCGTACTAGAACGAGACGGTCATCTAGTGTCTCCAGATTTTCAATAGTGGTCTATCTAAGATCGACTCGTGATTTCAACTGTGAAAATATTAAAACATTAGAAATATCCTATCAACTTAGCTGACATAAGATATTTTTACGAATTTATTGATAAAAATCAAATAAACTCACTATTCCATGGACGAGAATCAGTGGAAAGGCTAGAAAGAAAGTCGAAAAGATAAATATCATTAAATATCTAGATTTTTTAACAATCCAAAAGTAAACTACGTATTTTTTGTGTTTGTGGTTAATCATACGAAATCAAATTGATTACGCTTTGTGTATGCGTTTTATAAAGACCGATTTAAAAATCCAGCGTCAAAATTTGAAAAATTTGAAGATGCTCCTACTACATCAACATCGAATTTATTATGTCTAAAAAAGGTGTGTGTGTGTGAGAGAGAGGACGATTAAAAATTTTTAATTATTAGTCCAACCAAGCAAGCAGTACATAGACCTATGTGCATAGGTTACATTAACATCAATTTACTGCAAGCAGTATAGCATTGCGCTCTCATCCGTCATACGGAACTTCAAGGCAAAGGCGATAGAAATAAGATACAGTGGGAGTAGTAGTTCCCATTCATTGTGGAGCCACTAAAGAAATGAAATTCAAACCAGTGCGAATCATACAACTTTTGACCTGGTGCTACGAAACGAGTTAAGCAGGTAGATATTCCGATTTCATAAAAGAAAATTAAAGAGGAATATCACAATTATAATTCGTATGTTTAAACTCTTTATGCTCAATTGAAGACAGTCTATTGAATCACTTCCAAACAATTATACGCGAACTACAAGTTACTGAAATACAAAATTATTTTATCAATCATTGAAATTACTCCCGACCATTTTGGAATTATATCAACAAGAAGTAGATATACCAAGCTCCTGATCAGACCGAACAAGCCAAATGGTTAGTATATACCTGGTTAGTACAAATAGCTTCTTTAGAGTGTCCCTTAGCCATATGTTGTCATGATGTTAAATTTATAGCAATATCCTAGTTTCACGAATTGAAAGGTGTCACTTACAATAAGACTTACTCAAATTTATTTACAGGCATTTACAAAATTTAGTCTGCCCTTAAAAGGTGAGATTAAAGTTACTTTATACCTTCCTTTCTACGAACCAATTCTTTCTCCCTGTATCATAATCTTATATGCGACCTTTTTTCATATATTACTATCCGTGAAGTAACTAATTCAATGAATTTGCTGTTCACATTGTTGTGCTAATAAGGTGTGGCAACTTGGACCGACGCATATATGTGCATCGTCCTACGTTGTAGATGACTGGCTGACTGAAAATGTGATACGTTCAAGTAGTTATAAATATGCTAGTGTTCATCTCGATTATCTTTGGTGTCGTGATGTTAGTTTGGCTGTAAAAAGCGAAACCTGAACTTATTGAACTAAGGATGTTATACGACTCTCTGTGTCCGACTATAGCTGTCTTTGAAGGATTGCTGATGTTCAGTGGCAAAACGATGTTAGTAATGAGGAGGTTCAGCAATGTGTGTTTAGGGATGTCAATGATAACTTATTTGATGTCGCTTTATTAGTTCACGATGGGACTGACTCGGAAAAATAAAGATGTAATCAGTTTATAACGAGGCGCCGAGATATGAAAGAAGGCTGCATAGAATTGTCAACTATCGGCCTATCACAACTCCCTAATTGAGGTTCGAGAGATAGTCCAACTCAGTACCTTGAGACGTTATCAAACATGACTCAAAACAGAAACCATTGACGATTCTATTGTGATTTCTTTTACTTACTTTTAAAAGAGAAAGGAACTTCTTAAACTAAAAGATTCTTACTAGTTGTACTTTTCTCAACTGAATTACTTATTTCATTACACACGACTCTCGTCCACTTATTTTTACTAATCTGATTATTTTCCAACTACATTTACTCTTCTGTTTCTATAACTTCAAAATTCTACTCGCTAGTTCGCTTGGGGTATATTATTTTGGTGTTCATTTGTATAACATTTGTGTTCAAATAAATAAATGAAGTCAAATTACTGTCGTACAGTAATCTAGGTGAAAAATAAAATTATGCATATCTAAGAAGTCAACTTACTCATCCGTATCCGTACAGCTTAAAAAACAGGAATTCATAGATGGATCATAATTTGGAGAAAAAACGGCCAATTGAGCTAACGGTCGACTGGATTCATTCAACACATGGGTTTGTTTCTTCTCACATAAAGGAATTTCCCGATTGGTTCGATTAATTTTTGGTGCAGCTTCATAAAATAGATTATTACGAGGCCATACATAAGTAAGAAATCTATTATTTCCGTCAGTGCTCCTACTATGATTAAAATTATTAGATAAACTGCCAGCTTTACATAGGCTTTCTTCGATCCGACGTAAATGATTTAAAACAACAGTAGCATTCAAACGACTAGCAAGACATCCTAACGCTTGTAAACTTAAAACTGATAGTGCATTATGACTATCGAAAACTCCACGACATATCTACAGATAATAAACAAATTTTTATAGAATTGAACATCATTAGAAATGAACCCTAAAGACAATGCACATTACCGACATTGACGAAAAAAAAAAGCAGCAAAATTGGACGACAATATTTCTATATAGAAATGGTTAAACTTACAAAGAACCAAGAACAGAAAAAAACTCAGCTACGTAAAACGTGGAGATAAAGACACCAAATGTGATCGAAAAATAAACAATACAACTCTCATAACCTAAACAATACCTATAGATGGAACTTAAACCCGATACGCATGTCACGCTCGGGAGCTATATCCCAGCACTCCATATAGCATATTGTGAATCGATACAACATTGTCCACGAACAACAATGAATCGAACACATATGCACAAATCAATGCATTAAACACAAAACCAAGAGCACATCCAACCATCACGAATCAATCACACGCCAACAAATCAGAAACACACAATCAACAACACATTCATGTCAAACACCACACACAACACAATCACTAATCCACACTCCAGCATTCCGAACATCAATCATTCAACAACAAACAACACCTATAGCTGGAACTTAAACCCGATACGCATGTCACGCTCGGGAGCTATATCCCAGCACTCCATATAGCATATTGTGAATCGATACAACATTGTCCACGAACAACAATGAATCGAACACATATGCACAAATCAATGCATTAAACACAAAACCAAGAGCACATCCAACCATCGCGAATCAATCACACGCCAACAAATTAGAAACACACAATCAACAATACATTCATGTCAAACACCACACACAACACAATCACTAATCCACACTCCAGCATTCCGAACATCAATCATTCAACAACAAACAACACCTATAGCTGGAACTTAAACCCGATACGCATGTCACGCTCGGGAGCTATATCCCAGCACTCCATATAGCATATTGTGAATCGATACAACATTGTCCACGAACAACAATGAATCGAACACATATGCACAAATCAATGCATTAAACACAAAACCAAGAGCACATCCAACCATCACGAATCAATCACACGCCAACAAATCAGAAACACACAATCAACAATACATTCATGTCAAACACCACACACAACACAATCACTAATCCACACTCCAGCATTCCGAACATCAATCATTCAACAACAAACAACACCTATAGCTGGAACTTAAACCCGATACGCATGTCACGCTCGGGAGCTATATCCCAGCACTCCATATAGCATATTGTGAATCGATACAACATTGTCCACGAACAACAATGAATCGAACACATATGCACAAATCAATGCATTAAACACAAAACCAAGAGCACATCCAACCATCACGAATCAATCACACGCCAACAAATTAGAAACACACAATCAACAATACATTCATGTCAAACACCACACACAACACAATCACTAATCCACACTCCAGCATTCCGAACATCAATCATTCAACAACAAACAACACCTATAGCTGGAACTTAAACCCGATACGCATGTCACGCTCGGGAGCTATATCCCAGCACTCCATATAGCATATTGTGAATCGATACAACATTGTCCACGAACAACAATGAATCGAACACATATGCACAAATCAATGCATTAAACACAAAACCAAGAGCACATCCAACCATCACGAATCAATCACACGCCAACAAATTAGAAACACACAATCAACAATACATTCATGTCAAACACCACACACAACACAATCACTAATCCACACTCCAGCATTCCGAACATCAATCATTCAACAACAAACAACACCTATAGCTGGAACTTAAACCCGATACGCATGTCACGCTCGGGAGCTATATCCCAGCACTCCATATAGCATATTGTGAATCGATACAACATTGTCCACGAACAACAATGAATCGAACACATATGCACAAATCAATGCATTAAACACAAAACCAAGAGCACATCCAACCATCACGAATCAATCACACGCCAACAAATCAGAAACACACAATCAACAACACATTCATGTCAAACACCACACACAACACAATCACTAATCCACACTCCAGCATTCCGAACATCAATCATTCAACAACAAACAACACCTATAGCTGGAACTTAAACCCGATACGCATGTCACGCTCGGGAGCTATATCCCAGCACTCCACATAGCATATTGTGAATCGATATAACATTGTCCAATAACGATGGTAACTCGAACGCATATACGTATAAATTAATGCACTGAGAATAAAATATAGTGTACATCGAATTATCACTATATATACGTGCTCGTGACTTGCACAATTACCATGATCTTGAGTTATATGTAACACGATTTAGTATTCATTTTGTACGTAATCCATACGAAGTGCAGTATTAATACGCTTGTTTATTGTTAATGAACAAGAATGTGGTCAACCAATAAAGTTTAAATTAGTAAAATTCAGCATTAAATATACATGTGATCTTATTAAATTCTTAGTGTTACGACTAACAGCCCACTTAACGAATCATCTACTATTCAATATGCTGCACCATATTATCTTATTTAAGGTGATCACAAATCAAACTGACAATAAAAGCCACATCACTTTCTGGTTACTGACTAATATTATTGAATTATCTATAACTCAGTGACTGAGTTATCGTAGAACGGTGCAAGAAAATCCAAAGGATATGGTACAAGGATAAAGAAGACTATGCATAACTGTGTTAGAAATATTATGTTGAAAATTAAACACGAAATGCAAATATACCTACTTGTGGTAATATCACATTTAACAAATCACTATCAGTTAATATTTTTAAATAGCCAGTGAAGTGCTGAAGTAACAAAATACGTGTGTGTCTCTCGTTAACCATAAATTTTTGAACAATTAAAGGATTGACAAACTTTTGAAAATTTCGAAGAGATATGATCAATTTGGATTTGGGTGACTCTTGAAGGTTTTCTAGATTGAAAATCAGACCGAAAACAAATCAAGTTACTTGATAACAAAAAAGTATATCTTTCCGTTTATGTAATCACCATCGACAAAAACAAAATAAGAACTCAATAACTAAATATAATTTTATATATTCTGAAAATAATAATTACAGAATTCACGCCAGTTTACAGGAATGATCAATTTGGTTAAAAGAATTCGTCGCTGCAGCATTTCACTAGATAAACACAGTAGCATATGCTCGACTAACAGAGTATCACATTACCAACTAAAGGAGAAATCTGGTTTTCAAGCCTTCTAAATTATACTTCTTAATGAATAAGATACTCGTAAGTTACTAGTATTTGACCACAGATGACTTAGAAATATTGCTGGAGTCTGCTGGGATCACCGAGTAAGTAATAGTGAGGTTAGACGTAGGGTATTAGGGAATGATGGTAAGTCAGTTGATGAGGTTGTGAATCTTCATCGACTGAGATGGTTGGGCCACGTGTTACGTATGCCTGAATACCGATTACTACAACGCGAAATGCTGACTAGTGTTGGATATGGTTGGAAGAAAGTTAGTGGCAGCCAAACCAAAACGTGTTATCGGTGCTTGAAGTCACTAACTTCTAGTCTTACCACGTTGGTAGATGCAGACCATTTGATTGTGTTCCGAGTGACTATAGTAACTAGTGGTTGGAAACTCTGGGTGACATGGCTCAGAATCGATCACAATGGTGTAGGTGTATGTACTCTTTGTCTGTCCATAAACGGTGAGATTAAAATTACTTTATACCTTCCTTTCTACGAACCAATTCTTTCTCCCTGTATCATAATCTTATATGCGACCTTTTTTCATATATTACTATCCGTGAAGTAACTAATTCAATGAATTTGCTGTTCACCTTGTTGTGCTAATAAGGTATGGCAACTTGGACCGACGCATATATGTGCATCGTCCTACGTTGTAGATGACTGACTGACTGTCCACAAACGACAATGTCAGTCAGTCAGTAACAACGTAGAACTTCGTACGTACGTACATCAGTTCGAGTTGCCACACCACACTAGCACAGAGATACAGTGGTCGATTCAAATCCCGTAGTGGTAGAGGCAATAAGAGTATAAGCAGTAATCGGGAAGATTAGTGTTTGGAGAAGTTACGACAATGACTCAAACTCATATGCACAAATCAACGCACTGAGCACAAAACACTGGGCACATCTACACAATATACGATCTGGGATATACATTGGGAGCGATTTGCACTATTTTGAAGACTAACGAATGAACATTATTATGGGGAATAAATATTAAAGAGGATCTCCAATCAGGAAACATGCTTTTGGAAAGACAAAAGTGTAACCATTTAAAACATCCATGACCAAGCTGAGTGGAAATGATGGATAATTCCAAACACTACTCAGGATAGCCAGTCCGGATGAAAGTTCATTAAATAATGAAATAACATAAGTCCCCCAATAAACAGCTATTAAGACGCTGATATATTTGTTAGGTATTTATGTGTTGAACGCTGAAGGTCAAAGCAATTAATTGCTGTTTTTAGACTAGTAAATACCATTAGTTGTGTCCGTTAGCGTGCAGGTCTAGAGAAAAGAGATTTGTCCTAAGGAATTTTGGTGTTTTCCGTGTTGACGCTCGCTTTGGTATTGTGAAGAGTGGGAACATGAGTTGTAGTCACTTATTGTAGGATTATATGTACCATGGGTCAGTATTTGAGTTGCAGTACATTAGTGTTCAAAGGAATTGCAACGAAACTAATTACGAAGTATATGGAACAAAACACCACACGAGGAAAGTAGTTCCCCTATTAAAAAGGAGGGTACAAAACTAATAATCAAAAAGTGCAAACACACCTTCGAAAGCGTGGAAAATCTGAGCAAGTAGGGTTTGAGCCGGATAATCAAGAAAGATAGTGTTTTCGAACATTTTTGGTAAAATATTGCGACAAAATAACTCTTCTGATATCCTGTTAAATACTTTTTCTGTAAATGATCTAGGTTCCAAAAAAAGAACGAGAAAGGAGATAATATTAGTTTAGTAGCCAAGTATCGGGTTATGTGTTGAGGGGTAGAGCCAATAATACTACTCGATGCTGGGGACGATATATCCCCAAAACTCATATTTGTAATTTTATCATATCGATAAACTTATCGATTAAATGATTAAATAGCAGTCAATTGATGAACTCATTGATTAATGTTCAAAAAATTCCCATGACAATATCGATTATATATATTTGTATATATACGTTTTAAATTGTGTTCGTGGGCTCGCTCGTTTTCTGGCTGTTTGCAGAATATATTTTCCATACCAAGCTTGGACTTCTCCTTCTAGGTAGCAGGGCTGGAACGCATCAATAGCTAGATTACTTGTCTTTGGTCACTAAGTCTTGTTCTTGTTCGAAGATTAAGTAAACTCGGGAAGCTCCAAACCTAACACTCGATTATGTCCATTAACGTAGTAAGGATTAGATTTGGATCTGAGTCCCGATAGATGAAAGTTGTCACAATTGATTGATCACTGGGTGGTGATCAATGTCATGCTTGTCTAGTCCTTATTAGTGCAGATCGAATACTATCGATCATGTTGCAATGTGGCCAACAGTCTAGGTGACTCGACACTGCGGGCACTATGTATTAAGATTTAGATGGTGGTTGGAGGTAGTCAACAGGAAACCCTGGACCCGGGTTTCGTGCTACTTGGCACTCGTCAGCAAGGTGTACCTGTAATCTTGAGGGAACTGATGCTCCCTGGCGGATTCGATCTCGTGTCACCCAGCTTCACAGTCAGAGACGTTACCACTGAGCTATCCGAGCCGTGACTAACCTCCTGCAGGACTGCGATGTAATCACAATTGACTGATCACTGGGTGGTGATCAATGTCATGCTTGTCTAGTCCTTATTAGTGTAGATCGAATGCTATCGATCATGTTGCTCAGTGGTAACGTCTCTGACTGTGAAGCTGGGTGACACGAGATCGAATCCTCCAGGGAGCATCAGTTCCCTCAAGATTACAGGTACACCTTGCTAACGAGTGCCAAGTAGCACGAAACCCGGGTCCAGGGTTTCTTGTTGACTACCTCCAACCACCATCTAAATCTCAATACATAGTGCCCGCAGTGTCGAGTCACCTAGACTGTTGGCCACATTGCACCCATTGCAACCCATTATACCAAGAGGTCTTACAATATTATTTGCCACGAATGGGTACCAAAAACCCAAGTAACTCTGTTTAAGGCCTTTATAAAAGGTTTGATTGAAATGATTAAGTTAGATGGTCTGCGCCAGGGTTATCCACATTCAGTATTTACATTTATTTTATAATTGCTATGTTTCAAAGTGTTTATCTTTATTAGAGTAGGATTATTAGGATGTGACTTTAGTTTGGAGACTCTGTTATCATGTAAAATTAAGCAAATAAAAGTCCAGTGTGGTGATGAATATGTTAATGTCGTGAAAGGCAAGAATTAGGCGTAACGATCAGGTCCTGACCGACTGGAGTTAGTGACTTAAATACTAATGCCCATCAGCCGCCTACGACATTTCATCATTTTATGCACATAAACATGTAATTTTATTGGATATACAAACATTTCCCTCTGCTTTGTGGTCTTTTTCTTAATTTCAAATCATTCGAGAGCTTAAGTCAGCAATTCGCTCTCGTGAGCAGCCAAATTGTACCAATGCGTTGATCAATCACTCAGCTTTATCACGATCAAGGTTTTATAAAAAAAAGAAACATGAGACCCTGTTTTATAACAGCTGACTAAATACCAGATTTTGTAGAAGCTTTGAACGAAAATGTTATTATCTTCTGAATACACAATTGATGATTGGTTTCTATGAACTTTGAGTTCAACCGTGAAGAGTGGATTCGTCAAGTGCAATGTCATCCAATGACCCGAACTATTGACCATGGTAATCGCACGAACACCAGCTAAACAGTCAGCAACTGCCAACAAGAGTAGGACACTCAAATACCCTGGTACATCCGAGGGTGGAGAAAGTCCGTTCGCCGTCTCGAAATGCTCTCACATGACCACGTGTATACAGCCACTGCCAGGGAAGTCCTACTCACTGCTTTCTCGTGGTAGGAGTGTTATTCACCAAATTGAGATGACGAAAAGCGGATGACCAGCGCTTTAACAGGGTTGGTGGACACGGAGGATCCACCTAGAGGAGTAGGAAAACCTTGATTCCAAACCAATAGTGTACATGGGTCCCAAAATCCCGAGAGAACAAATGGCGTATGAACGAATTGTTGGTCATCGATTACTATTGGACTGCATCTTCTGACGTTGCTCCACTGCTTTGTGGATCAGACCTCTAGGCCAAAGGCTCAGCGAGTGTCCCTCTAAGAAAACCACCTGCCTCGGTTTGGGCACCTGGGCAGTACTACAGTCCTCACACAGACCAGTAACTACTGCTAGCCTCATTTTTATTGTGTCGCGCATATGTACTTGATGCCCTCATTTACTAATAATTGTGTTCAGATAAATAATAAATAAGAACAAGCCAAAGGTCAATAATCGAATAGATGTACTGATGCCATATCTTAATTTGGTCACTCTGGCTTTTGATAATAGACAAACCCCACAAAGTATTATAGCTTAACGACAAACTTGCTGTTTTTACTAAACGGGACAGAATATTAGGTCAAGTAGACTAGTTGGTAATGAGTTGGATCAGGTGGAGGTTTCGTCTACATTGATTAACATGAACTTTCATATAAATACAGGTATAATGCTCTATTTCAGTAGTGAGTGATTGGATACTAGTGAGTGAGCCAGTGCGCAATCAATTGAAACTACAATAACTCAAATGGTACTGAACAGATTTCGTACGTACATCTTTATTAAATGAAAATTGACAGAACCAAAAAATCTTAAAATAATTGTACCTGAAGAACACTTCCTTCTCCTCATCACTACGACTCACATATGTGTCTAAAAAATCCAATGTGGATATATATGGGCTCCTAAATAACAAATCTAAGAATTCCGAAGAAGCTTACTTGAAAGATGGGTGAGCTAATAGGTGGTCAGAAGGTATACGCGCTTTGGGTAAACTATGCATGCAAGAGTTAATTAAAACCTGTACGAGATTATAGAAAGGACCTGCGGAAACAAAACAATTATGAGTGAGGAAGTACAAAACCTTCTCCTATATCAGTTAGCGTACAAATCATTCGACTAAAACAATATATATCATAACAGAAGGCATACGCCGGATCAAAATTTAAAGCCTGAAAAGCGTCAAATAATTTTGTTTGACCCACTTTTGCGTCTTGTTGTCCCTTTAAAGCTTCAATTCTTCGTATATGGTCAGCAGACATATTCTTAAATTCCAGCGCGAGCTCAAAACCGCACAACTTCCAACACATATTCGAATCAATAAATACGCTGGTAGTATCCACGTTATTGTGCGAAACTCCAAGCTAATCGAAGGAATATTAGTTGACAATGATTTACTGTATTATGCAGGAAGTTGAGAGCAGAGAGAAGACTATAGGACCCAGCTAGTAGGTCATCCATTGTGGGATTGGTAACGAAAGCACTAAATGGGACTGAGTTTTCAACCACCAAGTACAAACTGTTAAGTCCATCAGAACAAGCCTTGTGGACACGAAGAATAGACGGATGACGCAGCCTAACAGGTATCTTGATTAGTAGCAGCAACAGTTGAAATAACTTACCGACGAGCTTAGTAGATAATCACACGCAAGCACGTTTGCACACGTACTAATTTTCACATCACTTTGCGAATCATCATTTCTATTAGTTGTCGTATGTGTCTTAAGGTACTTGATAATGCGAAACTTGTTATATGTAGGTTGAACAGTATGATGGAATGAAACCTCATAATTATCATTTTTATAGATCGCAAATCCGCCTCTCAAACAGTCACTTTTTACTAAGTGAATAGACGGGTCAGAAATATTATTGCCCATATATGCACATCGACATTTTCAAAGAGGACGTCGAGAGGATGCTAACACGACCTTGAGGAGACGAGTATCCCACGATACAGCAAAGGAAAAAACAAAATCCAAGAAACAAATAACAGTTGGCAGAAACAGAAAACAATATCAATTTTAATGCAAATTTGTAGTTAAGTAACTTGAAAACAGTAATAAAGGTCCCTCTGATTCTCCAATATGACACTGGGAATAAGTTTGGCTTAGCCAGTCGGACATGATACATGAGTTTCACTATTTTCGGAATCAGCTTAGTCGCGGTTCTCTGAACTCTTCCCAAAGCTCAGTCTTTTTTAAGCAGGAGCTGGCCGCTTTTATTCAGTACTCAAGTTCCGAACGGACGAATACTGTATACATTGTCAAAAAGACTTTAGCATCGACATGGTCCTACATACTGACTATAGGGTTCCAAAACCTATAGTGGCTACCAGATGGAAACGTGTAGCAGTTTTAAAGTCTTGGCTTACGATGACTCTCAAGTCACTGGATGTCTTAACAGCAGGTAGCTCGTTGTTATTCACCTTATACGTACCTGTATCTAGTGGACAACTATGCATTATATTGCGTTTGGAAGCGGTTAAATGGCAAATTTTCGACCATTCGGCTATTTTTACCAGGTCATTTTGAAGATCTAAACAATCACCGTTACTTTTTATCGCTCTCCATGTCTTGACATCGTCAGCATATAACAGAACCAGTGATGACAGGAGAACAGGGAGGTCATTTGCATCCAGAAGGAACAACGCTGATCCCCAAGCTGTGCCGTGAGGCACACTGCTAGGCACAGTTTATCAGCTAAACAGCTTGCAGTTTGCAACAACTTAGGTTTATCAGTCAACAGTTAACCTCAAACAAATAAGTATATATCAAAGCAATAAAACTCAAGTATTCACTCACTTTCTTATTTCGTATAGGCATTATATTTCGTGTTATCCTATATTTAATGCTAAAAAGCTTTGTGTATTTGAATAGGTAACATACCGCTCCACTGTGACTGTCCCACGATCTAAATAAAGACCTATTCACTACTGATCTGGTTTCTTCTATCAACAAAACACGAGTAACGTCCAGCCGTAATCATTATTGACGTCCAACTAGGAATTTCGTTGCCCACAATAATAAATCGCCTCCAATCCCGATATTACTCGACCTATATAACAGTTGGTTGTGAGGACCTTCGTCAAGGGATTTTCCGAGGTCAATGCAGGTCAAATCGATAATAACTTTTGGTCTTCAAGAGAGCAGCAACTTTCACGAGCCAATAATAAGTTAGTGAGACAAGTATATTCTATTCTAAAACCATTACGTTTTTCTGAAAAGATCCAGTTTTCACCGGGATACCTGAGAAGCGTCTTCTGAACAATCTTTTCTAGAATTTTAACAACTATTCTAGTTGTGCTAAGGAGTCAGTAGTCCTCGGGCTTATGTTTCCTACCTGTTTTGAAGACAGGACTTACCATGCCGTTTTCTCCAGTCGTCTTGTATTCGACTCTGGGTTAAGTATAGGTTAGCTAGTTCCTTTAGTAACCTAGGATGCATTCCATTAGGTCCCGTGGATTCGCTTATATCAAGCTTGTTTAGCAGATCAGAAATCAAAGTTCTTTATTTGTCACATTGTCGTGTGTGTGAGGATTTGTATGACCTAACTGAAAGCGTGCCTCAATGGTATATATATATTGCTAAAGTAGTTTGAAAATTCTTGAGCTTTACCATAGCCATTTCCTAATAATGATGAAGTATTACTGTCTCCTCATAGTACTGGCATATTTCCTCTTTTCTCAGTCCTTTGATTTATATACGATTACAAGCGTTTACGGTGTTCTACGGATTCCTTAACAATTTTTTCTTCTTACAGCCTTCTGGAATTACGGGCATTTGTCTATAAATTTTTAGTAAGGTGACCCCAGAAATATCATGAGGCATTATCTGGTACCTATTTTGTCAACAAAATATCATGCCCAAGGCGAGTTATGGGTTTTGGACCTTCACTCTCCTTGGCTCTGGGAAAAACAATTGACCTGTCTCTACGATCATTCTTCAGTTTGCTGGCTACTGTTTAAGAAACTGGTTTTTCATTAGCAACTTTTGACCGTTTTATACTCTTGATTTGAAACGATCATCGATTTTCACTAGAGTAGCGATCACAGTTGCGTTACACACTGTTGGATCCTTGATGATTGTTGATGACTTTGGTAGTCATGTTGTTGAGTTTCCTGTTAGGAACAGATCAAGCATTGATTTTTGATTTTCTAGGCGTTTCCTGATCGCTGCCATTTGCAAAGCGGAGGACAGAAGGAACATTCTCTCTTGAGCTAACATTCCCAGTATACCTATAGCGGTAAATAAATCCGCAAAACCAATAACACTGTAAGTCTTTGACATTTGATGCTAACCCCATTAGTTTTGATGGGCTCACATAGCATCAGATCACGAGTAAGCACGCCGTGCTTCACGTTTTCTAGACCGCTGGGAACATTTCCATTATAAAAGGTGTTACTGGTTAAAGCGTTGTCAAACTGCGAATACTTATGTCATCTTTAAACCTCGTTTAGGACTGTCCTACCTCCTTTGCCTCATTTAATTTAATCGACTCTGGTTGCTAAAGGTAACTTCACATCCATTTGTGTACAAATCAAGCGAGTAGCACTTAGTTCGTCTCGATTACACTTGCTAATACTCCTTTAGTTAGGGTTCATCACTTTATTGGCTCTGGATATCACGCTGTTTAAATTTTGGCAGCGTTGCTGACACAACCACAGGCATCAATTTTTACCAAACCATTTGGAAACGGCATTCGTTAGAATCATGCAAATTTAGTGGTATCATCCTTTGCAGTTATCCACAGGGTATTGATAGTCTGAATGCTGGCAACTGCCTTTTTTCCTCTATCCAATAATCAGTCAAAATGAAGATGCCGCAGGTATTCGGAGTTTGACAACGCTTTAACCAGTAGCACCTTCTAATATGAAGCATACCAACCAAGTGAAATCAAAAGACAGAAGCGAGATGCTTCGAAGATATATTTGATAGGCTATCAGTATATTGAGAATCGACTGATCTAATTTGGCTGGCGACTGCAAGGGCTGTTGAGCATGGCGTTCCCACTCGTGATCTAGTGCGATGCATGACCGAGCGCTTCCGCTAGATGAGTCCATTAAAACATGTGGTCAGCATCCAATGTCGAAGACTAAAAGAGCTATATATTTTAGGGATTTATTTACCGCTACAATTGGTTTTTAAGAATAAACTTGTTTCAGGCACTCACAAGATATAGTAAAGTAATCGGAAAAAGTGGAAAACTGTAAATTGTAAGAAACAAAATTGCAAACAAGTACAGAAGGAACCGATGTGCTCAAATGTACGGATAATAAATCGTCTTTAAATAAAAGATACCTTCATTGATCAAAATAAATTATAATAAAGTTGGAACAGTAGTAATAAATGGTCAAAATAATAATATTAAGCGAGGAAAAATCTCAATTTCTTAAACATCGAGCCTGATAAGCATGTATTGTACATTTTCATGATCAAGAACATCGTACTATTAATACACAGGTACCAGGAAACTAATGGTTCGTCTTCTTGTTAAAAATTGAAATCTAAATATTCGTTCTGACATTGGTATTGGAAAATTGGGTTATTTTAAGACGTTGCGTTACATAATGGGCTTTAGCCTTGGATGCCTTTCCTCAAAATGAGTGTGGTAAGTTTTCATATCGGTACAGTTCTTTAGAGATGTTTTAGTTACTGAGTATTTTAATAAGGTCTTATCATTCTCAGAATCAGTAACGTATAACATCCACGTTAACAACCCGAAACTGTCTAAATTATCCCACCTCTGAATAGGACAATTAAACATAGTAAGTTTCGCTGAAAAGTGGAAGCGTAACAGTATCCGTTACTTTTTATTCATCCTAATTATCCGAGATTTTGGACTTATACCCGCTTTTTGCCCAACGAATAAAGGTCTTGTACATACAACGTATGTTGCAATAAAACATTGACTTTGAAGTTTTCTGCATATTGCCGATTCTTATTCCTTCGACCATATTAGTTAGTAATAGGGGTGTGTCACAAACTCTAGTAGTTAATGTAAGAATGTTTCAAGTTAGTAAATAGATGAAATAAGTACTGGAAATATATGAAATGTGTATTCTAGCTGTCTGGCTCTAGTAAGTTTCTCGAGCTCGTCTAAAAGCCTAGAACAGTGAAATATAGCGCATTTTAATGCCTGGTGTAATACTTCATATAGTAACATTGTTGAAATGCCTTTAAGGATATTTCGAAAGACTCAAGGCTAGTTTGTCTCTACCCAATGTAATTTTATTCACTTACATTTATTTGGTAGGACTATATTTTATGGACGACCTTTGAACGAATTTTTAAGTGATCTTGAAACTATTAACCAATCAGAATAGAGATAGTATAAAGTGAAAACATTATAAAAACTTATGAATTACAGCGGATATTCTTTTACATGATCTAAAAACTTAGCTAAAGGTTCAGATGTCCTGAAATCATAGTGCATGGGGTTAGGGTCAAGGTTTAGAGTTAGGGTTTAGGGTTAAGGTTAGAGTTAAACTACTGAAAACATAAAGAATCTGATAAATCAAACTTCATAGATCATTACATCCTGTTATTATTGTAACTATTTATATTTATTTATTTTAGCACATGGATACTGGTAAAAAGAGGCACCAAATACATATGCGCCACACAAATCTCATTCAATATGTGTGAGGGCTGTAATATTGCTCGGGTGCCCAAATCGAGGCAGGTGGTTTTCTTAGGTGGCCACTCCCCGAGCGTTCGACCTGAAGGTCTGACCCACAAGGCAGTGGAGCATCGTAAGGAGATGCAGTCCCATGGAAGCCGGTGACCAACAATTGGTTCATGCGCCATTTGTTCCCGCAGGATCCTGGAGCCCATGTGCACCATTGGTTTGGAATCAGGGTTTTCCAACTCCCCTAGGT